AAATTTACACGCCAAAAAACTATGCACATACAGCATATTCATTTAAAATGTAAGTAATAATAATAATTGCTTGCACTTATATAGTGCTTTTCTGGACACTCTACTCAAAGTAGAGTGTCCTACGCTTTACAGGTAATTAACCCCATTAGGGGACTCCCCTCCACCACCACCAATGTGCAGCATCCATCTGGATGATGCGACGGCAGCCATAGTGCGCCAGAACACTCACCACACACCAGTGTTATCAGTGGGGAGGAGAGCAGAGTAATGAAGCCAGTTCATAGATGGGGATTATTAGGTCAATGGGAAATTTGGCCAGGACACCGTGGTTAACCAGACTTTTCGAGAAACACCCTGGGATTTTTAATGACCACAGCGAGTCAGGACCTCAGTTTTACATCTTATCCAAAGGACGGCGCCTGTTTACAGTATAGTGTCCCCGTCGCTATACTGGGGAATTAGGACCCACATAGACTGCAGGGTGAGCGCCCCCTGCTGGCCCCACTAACACCTCTTCCAGCAGCAACCTTAGTTTTTCACAGGAGGTCTCCCATTCAGGTACTGACCAGGCTCACACCTGCTTAGTTTCAGTGAGTTGCAAGTTGTGAGTTGTAGGGTGATATGGCTGCTGGAGTGCATGTAGGGATATTCCAATATATGATCATTGTTGTTTACAAATAACAGTTTTGTATCATTAGTAATACAATAAATTTGTTGGGTGCAAATTTTTACCAAAAAATAATTAATAATAGGTTGTTTAATAATAATCATCTTCAGGTGCTTTCATGAATCTTTCCTTGATCTTTGGGGAGATTCATGTGAAAAAAGTCATTTTCATTAGTTTATACAAAAATCTTTAAGCAAAGGCACAACGCGTTGGAATATTAAATCTAGGCTGTATAATGACCAAATTGTGTTTAGATAAGTATTTGTGTGGGTGTGTGGTGGGTGAAGAATAACAATACTGAAGGAGAAAAAAAATGAAGCACATGTTTACTCACTTTAACTATTAAATAATTATCTTCAATGCATATCTACCGGACAATAAGAACAAAGGAAGAAAACATTCTGTTCCACTGGATGTTTATTTAAGCACGTTGGTTTATAGCATTAAAGTCTCTGTGTTCCCAGAGTGGTTTTTAAGAACAAATCATGTTGCTTTGCCTTTTTTCCTCTAGGGCAAATATGGGATAATACAGCAAAAACAGCATTGAATGATTCCACATTCCTGCCCTGTACAATCCAGCTTCTTTTTGTAATTATTGTTCCCTTATAAGGCTGCCAGTCTGAATTTTGACATCAATCACATTTTAAAGTCATGAAGTGGGGCCTAAAAATAATCCTTTCTGCAGACAAGGCAAACAGGAATAAACCTGAAAGAAGCCTAACAAACAACAAAAACAGTACAGAAATATGCTTTAAACCATTCAGTTCCAAGGTACACAGGGCTACATCTATTAAACTGAAATACAAAACCTGAAGATGGCTACAGATCTCCAATGTTAGGTTAATTTCTTCAAAACATGCAGTTGAGTATTTTCCTGGTAATATTTAATTTGATCATAATTCCCTGCAGTTTTTTTATTTTCCAGATAAGGTGTGTCACCTAAAAATGATGATGATTATTATTATTAAGGCGGTGTTAGATTGCTTTGTGTGATATGGTGAGAAGTGGAACACAGAATGGCCAAAGAAAACAGTGGCCCTGAGGAATCCATTACATCGCCTTCACTTACAGGTTTGGTTAGAAGCCTAAGAAATGTGAGAAAAAGTACAAGCTTAGGCTGGGCTGAGGGGTGTCACGGCTGCTGGACAAATGTTTGTTGGTTTGCCCAACCCAATAGGGATATGCACCCTGCTGAGGAACAGGGTTGGCCAGCAGATCCAGGGCTGATTGAAGGTATGAGCACCTAGAGCAGGGGGGCAATGCCTGGCAAGGTGTCCCCCCAGTTGTCTCCCAAGCACTTACAGTGAGGAGACAAGATGACACGGGTACATGGGTACAAGTCCCAAGTACCCACTGTGCATTGACAACAGGAAATAGATGGGTGGAAATGGCCAACTTGGCCACTGCTGTGTGCTTCAAAGTAACGTCTGTGACCAAACAGGATCAGCTGGGAAAGACAGCAAAGCTCTGGTGCTTGGTGAAGAGTTATTTACTTGAATAATGTGAAGACTGAGAATTGGACAACACGCGTTTAATAGCTCCAGTGCCTGGATGATTAATGAAGACTGGGAGTGAAGAGTTACTGAGAAGATCTAGTAGGTGAGCAGATCCAGGGAAAGACCAACAGAAGGAAGAGAACTTCACAAAGATGGGACCAGTGTGTGACAACTAAGGTTCACACAGAGGGTCCAAAAGACCAGGAAAGACCAATGCCCATGCAGGAAGATAATGGGGCACAGGGGCAGTGCTGGAATGTGTAAGGAATGGGGTGGAATGTATACCAGCATTTGTCATGTCCTGCAAAAGCAAGGGTTGGAGAAATATGGTACTTACCTTCTCAGCAGCGTAGGATTAAATTCAACACAATTTCTAGTTGAAAGCTGTAAAAATCTAACTTAAACATATGAAACATATGCAGAAAACAGCGTTCTGATAAGGGGAAAAATGTCTAACTGCAGATGTTGCAAAATAGGGGAGAGTTGTGAGAACTATAGCAGTAAGAGGAATATAAATTGGTTGGACACTGCTGAGGCCTTGCTGTCACTTGGCTAATGAAATTCAATGGTTGACAACTGAAAAATACTATCTTCAGGTAGCAGGAAAAAGTGCACTATAAATATCAAATAACTGGTGGAAACAACCTTCATGTTTTGTTGTTAATGCTTCACCTACATTTTTTATACAGTCAAAGCAAGCAGTAAACTATTATACTTAGTTTAACTTTGATTGTTACTGTATGAAAGCAGAAAATACTTTCCTGAAATGAACATGATGGACATCCCTGAATTAGTATCAAAATAGTATTCTAGGTGAGTTAAATTAACTAAATATCTTTACACATGGGCACAATTGGTTATGATGGGATGTGTTTGAAGTATTGAAAATCCTCTAATGAAATAATCATGTCAATCTAACAGAATACGACTCCAAAGCAAATAGATGGAATACTTAAAAAAACACAGATCCGGGGTCACAAGTCATAAAAGCAGGTAAATTTAGGACTGGAAGTATGAGAATCAATTAAGCTTGAGGCAACCAGCAGGTGTTCATACTGTACACCTGCATTAAAAACATACTGTAACTTTGAAGGCCAAGAGACAGTAGGAGAGTGGTTTGAAACTGTAGAATAGCACATCCATGTAATGAAATGAGTGATGCAAAACAGGTTGAAGATCCAACTATTACAGAAAATGACAAGAAGCATTTGGCTAGAACAGTTAACTGATGATGGGGTAAAAAGGATAACAAACTTCTGATCTCATCCTCAGTGGGGAATGACATTGCATTGTGCAGTGCCAGAAATAATGGCTGCAGGTTTAGTCTGAAGTGGTAAGATGGGAGGAGGTACAACAAGGCAGTCAGAGAAGGTGCAGCCCGAATGTCAGAAGACAATGGATGAGAAGAAGGAACAGGAAAGCTTGAATATGCTGAGGAAGATAACATGAGGCACCCAGCAGAAGAAACTGGAAAGGCTCAGAGAGGTTAAGGGCAGAGCAGCAAGGAGGCTCAAGAGCTTTGAATGTGAGTGAAGCTGAGATGTTTAAATATCCATGGAGATAATGTTGGAGATGCAAGTGAATGAGAGAAAACAGTAATGCAAAGGAGCTGTGGGTGACCCGGAATGGTATTGAGGATGTTATCTGAATATTATCAGTACTCCTTGCTTTCAATTACCTGACAGGTAAACACTGCATATGAACAAGACTGCTTCTTAAAATGCTTTTATTGAGCAAATTACTCTTAAAATGAAGGTAGATAACCAGACAGACTGATATAATGAATTTGTCCCACAGTACTGTATATCAAGATTTTAAAAAAACTTGTAAAAAATAAAGTAAATAACAAATTCTGTCTCTTTCCTTCTGTCCTCTTGTCCAGGCGCCTGAGCGATTAAATCCATGATTGCAATGTGTTTTTTTTTTCCACATTAGTATCCTCACTCTGTGAATTTGGCTTTTAAGCTTTTTCTGATTTGGATGCCTGTGTTGATTTAATCTGGTCACCCTGAAAGAACCCTTGCAGACTAAAATCCTATTTTATATGGAGCAACCTAATATTATATAATATTCCATACAGTACTAAAACAATTAAATAATAATATGCCAGCAGCCATATCACCCTGCAACTCACAACTGGAAACCCACTGAAGCTAAGCAGGTGTGAGCCTGGTCAGTACCTGGATGGGAGACCTCCTGGGAAAAACTAAAGTTGCTGCTGGAAGAGGTGTTAGCAGGGGCGCTCCCTCTGTGGTCTATGTGGGTCCTAATGCCCCAGTATAGCGACGGGGACACTATACTGTAAACAGGTGCTGTCCTTCAGATGAGATGTAAAACCGAGGGCCTGACTCTCTGTGGTCATTAAAAATCCCAGGGCGTATAACCCCGGCGTCCTGGCCAAATTTCCCCATTGGCCCTTATCAATCATGGCCTCCTTATAATCCCCATCCATGAATTGGCTTCATCACTCTGCTCTCCTCCCCACTGATAGCTGATGTGTGGTGAGCGTTCTGGCACACTATGGACTCCTCTCCACCACCAACGTGCAGCATCCACCTGGATGATGCAACGAGCAGCCATAGTGTGCTGGGGCATTAGGACCCACATGGACCACAGGGCACCCCCTGCTGGCCCCACTAACACCTCTTCCAGCAGCAACCTTAGTTTTTCCCAGGAAGTCTCCCATCCAGGTACTGACCAGGCTCACACCTGCTTAGTTTCAGTGGGTTTCCAGTTGGGAGTTGCAGGGTGATATGGCTGCTGGCTAAATAAATGAAGTCTGTGACCAATCAAGGTCACCAAAGGTTTTTTTGCAGCCACTTGTGTAAAATACATACTGAGTTGGATTTAGATCTGGAGATTTACTTGGCCAGTCTACAATCTTTTCTCCCAGTGAACTCCTTGGTCATATTGCCTGTGTGTTTTGAGTCACTACTGCTGCATTGTGAAACACTGCCCAATCAGTAATTAGACAGCTTCAAAGAAAGCTGCCAGTGAGTTAATGGAGGTTCTGTAGAATCCCAAAGATGGAAAACACAGATCACAACAAACTGTGCCACACAACAAACTCAGTTCTGTGTGAACTTACAGTAGTTGGCTCAGTTCATGGACGACTGAATCAACCGCACCAGCTAATTTACTGTCATGTGAAAGGAGCTCCCTGCATTATGTAAAAGATCAAAATGGCAAACTATGGTTTGAGAGCAGTTTACAACAGCATGCCTGATCTGAGATGTCCATTGGAGCTTTCCTGGCACAGAGACGGGCCTAGGCGGTGTCCGAGGGATGTACAGTATTTGAATTCCTCCCAGTTGTAGTCTGCTCCTGCAGTATAACAAACCTCTGAACAAGAGTTATAAGCCACAAGTAATATACCTTGATCAGGTATAAAAATTTAATTTATTTAAAAACTATTATAGCATATCGAGCCATGAGTGAACCCCATGATAAACTGATAAAAAGGGGTAACAAGTCAATGAATTGTGTAACACATCAGAAGACAACACAACTTGTCCACAACTGCCACTTTTTACTTTTGGTACAAGGTTGCATATCTAAGTGTGAAAGAGAAAAATGTGAAGATATGAAGATGGGCGGCACCCTGGCACAGTAGTTGTTTTGCCTTGCTGGGGCCCTGAGTTCAGTTCCAGACCTGGGGTGCTATCGGCATGGAGTTTGTATGTTCTCTAGCAGTGTGTTTACATGGATTTCCTCCAGGTGTTCCAGTTTCTTTCCACAGGGGAACTGGGGTAGATAGGTTAAGTTAGAGTAGTTTAATTGGTTCCTGAGAGAATTGTCCCTATTGTGAGCATGTGCTTCTTTGTGTCTGTGCGTCATACAGTCCAGGGTGTATCCTGCACTATGCCCACTGCTTAATGGGATGGGCTCCGGCTCCCCCATGACCCTGAATTGGATGAAGGAGTTAGAAAATGGATGAATAAGTAAAGAATAAAGTAAAGATGTGTCATCGATTATGGTGTGATATGTAAATCACCTACCCAAACTGAAATTACTTTTTGATGTTGGAAATGTTTGGAATCCTTTTGCATAAGGATAGCACCACAATGACTGTACAACAGGTACCGTCACAAAGCTGTGTCCCTACAGTACTAAACTGTGATGTGCCTTCATATATAGTACAGTCCACATATTAAACATATCCACCTCTGTCAGAAGTACACACGTTAGTACTCTGTATAATGCCTGTAAGTGCCAGGTAAAATAAATTACAAGTGATTTAATACTTCTTCTCTTGAAACGAAGAACATGATAAAGCACCCAGTTTCTTCTTCAAATAAAGTTATTTGCATTGACATGCTCTAATCCAAATGAACACTGCTTAGCTCACAAAGGGTCTAGTGTTGAAGAAAATTAGAAGCGTAAGGGCTCAGCTGACTTCATGCAGTGGAAAAATCTAGTTAAGACGGCTTCCGCTTTTCAAAAACAGTATATAAGAACGGCACAGACGTCCGAATTAATACGGTTTGGTTTAGTTGCGTCTACAGTACGTTAGTAATGACTCTTTTACCATGATTATTCACATATGCTTTCCCCGCCCATTTTCCATCCCAGTGTTTGTAAAACAAATATGACCTACAGAGCAATTGCAAAATGACAGTTCTACACACAGATGGAGGGAGGGTAGTGGGCAGGTCCAAGCGCATCATTTCCTCTGCACGCCTATAGGACCTCCTTTCTACAACAAGAGCATGCGAGGGGTGTGCGCAGAAGCGAGACGCGGAGGCTTTCAGGACAGCTCTTAACCGTAAAGAATAAAGAAGACTGCATTTACGATTTAACGACCGTTTTTTTTTATTGTTCTTTATATTGCACTCGCATAAAGTTTGTTCAGCTATGCCTAACATTGTTCTTTTTAGCGGGAGTTCCCACCATGATTTGTCACAAAAAGTAGCAGACCGACTCGGTCTAGATTTGGGAAAAGTGGTCGCAAAGAAATTCAGCAACCTGGAAACCTGGTAAGCTTGGTTTCTTTAACTTTATAATACTGATGCAAAGGCATGATTGTGTAGTATCAAAACAGGCCTTGGGTGTGTGTTTATTGGACCATACTGAGGCTATGCACATGCACATAATGTATAAAATGGATAACTGGATGTTGTACTTTTTCTTACCTGACTGTTTTTGGGCGGCTGGTTGGAACTGGGATTCTTCACTTGTGTATATTCTTTTCGCACACCTTAGTGTACTTTCCTGACCCCGATCTCACCCCTCCTCGTCATCTGCTTTTTTATCTCGCGTAACATGTGACTCGACAGTGGAATCCATTATTTTTTCTAGTTGCGTTTAGTTTGAAGGTTGAACATTTGGTTAAACAAATTTTGTAATTTACTGGCCTTTAATTTTGACTTTCAAGATTTTAAAACTTACTGTACACACGTGTAAATGCGTTCGTTTAAAACTGAACATCTTTATCTTTCTGCCGGTGCTTCAACAATGTGTTGCACCCCATTGAAAATGTGATTTGGGGAAAACTCTGCTGTCAGGCCCACATTATGCAACGACCCAAATCAGAAGGCAATTAACCCCTAAATCAAGCAGGGGTTTAACAATGTGACGCTCGTAGCCTGAGAAGGAAGGTAGCATTGTGAATGTGGTACAGTAGATTCCAAGGGAACTTGATGATCAATAACTTTTACAAATAGGCAACAGCGCGGTATCTTGTGGATGAAGAGTATCCTCTTCAGCAAGAGACTGGAAGAATTATGTTTGTGTTAATTGGCATAACCTGCTTTTGATATCCATAAAGCATTAGCTCTTTGATTGTTTTTTTTTCCTTGATCAGTCGTTCTGGTATTAACGTGTATGCACCTGACATGGTGAACAAATTTTTCTGACTGCAAATCAGACATGAAAATTATAGTCAAAGCAACAAAATGTAATGGAGAGACTATTCAGACACTTGGATGTCCATGGTTTACAAGAACCCACAGAATTAACAAAAGACAAAACTAGATTACAAATGACCTACACACCAGTGGATGGCTTTTGCACAATAAAGCCTACACTATATTATCAAAAGAAGATTGTTAACAGTCAAAAGATGGGATCTTATACCCTTTAAAATGAGTGCATGTAGGGTAATGATTGTAGCAACTGCTCTGCAGTTATTAATCACCAAAATAACTTAGTTGTTAAAACTTGTTCTGCTACATTAGTTTACGTTGTTACTGTATACTTCATTCACTAGAAAACTGGACTGGTAAAGTAATGTTGTGTCTGCACAAGAGGGGACATCAAACATGCTAACCTTGGACATAAGCGTATGCATCTTGTATCATTTTATAGTCCACTTGAGAAGTGCTCTCAGATCAGAGCAAACAGAATAGCTAGTTTTTCATTATCTATTGCAGTTTGGAAAAACATTGTATATAAATTATTAATATTGTATCATAATTGTTATTAACAATTACATAGTTTTAGGATTTGTTATAAGCAGGTAATTGTAAGTCTGCATCAGTGATTCCTGGACATTTCATGCTTGATACTCTTGACAGGTATGGGATTTAAGTATGAGTAGCATTCCATAATTCTTCAATATGGTCTTGGAAAATAGCTTTAAGTTTCTAAAGTCTAACATGGGTCAACCTTGTGTGCAGTAATTGTTATTTCCTTCCTTGTTCCTTTATTATTTCTACAGTTTGATCAGCTACAGCATAAATGGTAATTCTGCACACTTAACTGAAATATACTCTGTATATCGTATCAATTGTTAATATTATAGTGCAAGTGAATTATGTAAGAGATGAAGAGCATTAACTTAAAAGAGACATTACTCATGTGATTTAAAAATAGGTTTATACCCAGCTCAAAGCTGTTACAGGCTGTCGTTCTTACCGGCCTTGTGTACTTTTTCTGTGCACTGTGTTCCTGATTAGAATAGTGCTATATTTTTATTCATCAGATGTGAACACTGTTGCCCCCTTTTCTCCCGTGACAAATAAATAAATTCAAATAAATATGAGTGCAAATGCAAGATGTGTTGTTTAAAGCATAAGAGAGGTCACAAATGAGAGGCAGACATTTGGCCTACTTAGCCCATTTGGTTGGTAATAGATGATTGATCTATGGATCTCATCCAGTACTGTCCTGAAAGAATCTAGGTTATTGACTCTGATTTAAAACAGTATGTGGAGGGCAGCATACGTGCAGATGGCACAGCAGTAAGCATTGCTGGGGCCTCGGGTTCAATTCCAGACCTGGGAGTGCTGTCTTTGTGGAGCTTGTATGTTTGCCCACGTTTGCGTGGGTTTCCTCCAGTCCAAAGACGTACTGGTAAGTTAATTGGCCTGGAGTACCGTCCAGGGTGTACCCTACCTTTTACCTGTTGACTGCCAGAATAAGCTCCGGCTACCCATGACCCTACATTGAAAGAAGCAGTTTAGAAAATGGATGGATGGAAAATATCTGGATGTCCAGGTGTTCTGGTTTACTGCCACGGTCCAAAGACATGGCGTCCAGGTTATTTAGCGTCACTACAAAGTCCTCTAGATTTTGAGTGTATTCACATCCTACTATTAAATATACTGAGTTTGCTGAACTACCACAGGTTCCGTGTGCTCCAACCTAGTTCATGGTAAGTGCCGAATTGCACTGTAAGTAATATTTTTATTACGGGCAAAGAGTTTCACCCTCCAACACTGCCCCTAAATTGGCACAGACACTAAATGCACCTGCAAAGGCTGCCATGGAGTATTTTAAAAGAGCTTTGCTGTAGTTCGTCAGCAGTAATTGAAGGTTGTTGTCCCTCAAGTGTGGAGATCGGAGAAAGCGTCCGAGGGGAGGATGTCTACATTGTGCAGAGCGGCTGTGGAGAAATCAACGACAACCTCATGGAGCTGCTGATCATGATCAACGCCTGCAAGATCGCTTCCGCCTGCCGAGTGACAGCGGTCATTCCCTGTTTCCCTTACGCCAGGCAGGACAAAAAGGATAAGGTAAAAATTAACTGTTGTAGTGATAGGAAACACCGCTATCAATGAAGAGCTCTAGACTGTGTTAGATAAGTCAGCATATGTCAACAATAGGAAGTCCAAAAACCTTTCTATTCCAAATACTGTTTTTCTGTTGGAAAAACTCAGTTTTTTAGTATTGTTTAATATTTGATTGTCAGATAAAAAGCAATGACTTAACAGTGAACTCATCTCGAGTACCTTCTAATTGCTGAGTCTATGACAACAAGCTCTTTAATTAGTTTAATTAGTGATGAGCAGAATTACTGGAAGAATTCAAGGGAATGACTTACTAGTTTTGGACAAAGTAAAGAAAAATTACTTATTAAAGTCCAGGCTGTGATTACTGCAGGTTAATTATTTAGAAATTAAAGCAGTTTAGGGAAGATGTTTAGCAACGAACCTCCAATTTTTTATATGAATTATTTTGGCAAACAGGAACCACGTCAACTTTGAGTCCTCGTAATATTAAAAGCGAGTTACTTCTATGCACACACATTCCTACAGATTTTTACATTCAAGTGTTTCTAAAAAAGGTGTGTTTTGAAATAACATTGTGCAAAATATTTTCCACTTTCCTGCTTACATCATTGTAGCTTTGATTTGCAAGGGGAAATCACAGTTTCTTTTAAAAAATAAAACAAACCAGACAGCCATTTCTAAATAGTTAACAGGATTAATGAATAAAGTACAATGCATTATAAGTCATAATAAACTTGACTTTTTAATGGGTGCACAAAATTGTGAGCACTAGAAGCTTAACTCTTAAAGGAAGTGGTATGGTAGGTGCACACCTGAGGTTACACTGTTCTGCTTACAGCTCTTTTAATATCAAATTGACGTTGCAAAATGTTACATGCAGTACAGTTGCTGTAATCATGCAATTGCATGTTTTCAGCCGTATCGTGTTTCAGAACTATACGACTATGGGCTGTGATCTGCCAATAGCAAATTACAAAGTAGTTACTTGGTAGTTTCACAGTGCTTAAGTTACAGTACATGTATGTGTCAATGTTATTGTTCAATCTACACTGTAAGTCAGTGTTCTGCAGAAATTGTATTTCCGTTGAAAGAATAGCTTCTCTGCACATTTTCACTGGCACCTTTTCAGTTTTTAAATGTTAAACACTTAATAAAAAAAAATTAGAAAAGACCTGAATGTTCAGAAATGAATGCATGTAATTTTTCAACATAATCAGATATTTGAATTTTGAACTAGTAAACTGGAGTGGGAACTATTGAATAGTGCAGTATGACCTATAAACTATGTTGCAACTAGTTTTATGGTTAAAGGTTAGAATCTGTGTGGAAGGTCTTTGAGTTTGAGTGACATCATCACTCTCCCCCTTCACCTTACTTGACCACTGTTCGTTATTACAAAACTGCTTGCTCTGATGGAGAGCTACATGTATGGGTACTTCGAAGTATGAATTTCCGTATATACTGGGCTTCAAAACAAAATTATAACTGCATCAAATTCACAGTGTTTTTGAAAGTCATTTTACAGGCATGACACGTCAATTCACCTTGCTAGTGTATGACTGTTTATAATAGATTTTTCTTTTTTACAGGGTCTGCTGTGAAAGTCATGCTAGTCATTTGCTAATAAAGTTGTGGCTACCACTGGAAACAATACAAGATGTATATTTACAGCTCAAGCTTTGCACTAGATTTCATTTACTGTCTTGTGGGGATTCTGTCCTATTCTTCTCATTCTGTAGATCCTGGTCAATATGTGCATGTTCTCTGTTCTCTGAGCGCTTGATACTAGGTGTAGAGTCCTAGATCATCCCATAAATATTCAGTGGGACTCAAGTCTGGCATTGAGAAGGGCATCCTTCTCATAACATGGTTATCACATTGTCATCTCATAGGAGAGGTGTTTGTAGGTGAGCAGGATGAGGTCATGAGTTGTCCTGCTGGAATATTGTCGTGTCAGGTTGAGCTGCTGGGAAGGGGAGCAGGCAAGATCTGAGGAGTTTGTCACTCTAGGGCTGTGCAGTTGGATTTCCACCAGTCACTCCAAGTCGAGTTCTGTAGCACTCCTATCCGTACCATCACACGTGGACTTTACCTTCAGCTGGCCTTTTGTACACGATGGCTAGCACATCATTTTACATTTGCTTACGCTCACTCAAGTCCATCGGGGATGTCTACACCCAATTTGTACTAGATTCATTACTAGCGAGGACACGGCTCCACCGCTATTAAGTCCTCCTGAGCTGTTTTACACACCCCCTCACTGATGAACAGTGATGAGCACTTGACCACCATGTGGTCATCTAGCTGACAAACAATGAGTGAATTGCTGGTTCATTAGTTGTTGTGGCATTAGAGTGCAAATACAACCACGAAGACAATTGACAATGTGCTGTAACTTGTGATCTCTCGGACCCTGATCTATGATTGAGGGACTGTAACATCTCACAGAGTTGAACTGTAACATTGATTGTAAGAAATTGTTAGAAATTTACCTCACATGGCAAGCAACAGCACGCTGACTTATTCCCACCTCCAAAATAGCAAAAGGCATTGTTCTTGGTTATTATTCCTTGATTTAAGCAATAAACTACAGTAAATCATTTCCTTACCCATGCCCAATTAACCTTACCAAATGAGCTAATAGGCAAGTGGCCTTCTCGCATTTGTAACCTTCTTTATGTTCTTTCAGGATGTGCTGTACCTTAGATCTTAGCCAACGATCAGTCACTTTAAGTGCATGATAGTCATGAAAGATCGGTTAAAACCATTAAATTATTATATAAAATCTGTGTAGTTTCTTTTCCATAAACATTTGTGGATGAATGGAATGATAAGTTTATTTTTAAGTGAGTTTATACTTGCTGAATAGGTAAAAAGCTTATATATATATATTTATTTATATGCTATAAAAAGCATATAAATATTTGGTTAAGTTTTATTCCAGGCTGAAAAGAAACAACGTTTCGGCTGTGGAGCCTTCTTCAGGTGTGTGAGAAAATGTGGAGATGTGGAGCCTTCTTCATCACACCTGAAAAAGGCTCCATAGCCGAAATGTTGTGTTTCCTTTCTTCTCTTTTCAGCATGGAATAAACCTTTACTTGTTCCTTTGCAGCCTACGCATGCTGACGCAGCTCCCTACTTAACTAAATATTTTGTAGCTTTGTAGCTTATCAGTGCACGGCAACTTTATTCACTATACAGCTGATGAAAGTTGCTGTATACCTTCTATTTCTACCTCCAGACCAAAATATGAAATACAATTTTTTTCCCCTTGTACCATGACACTTTAAACTATAAACCGAAATGCATTAGCACTCCCGTGGGTTAAACAGGAATTTGAATTTGTTCAGACTGCACCCGAGTTAGATTTTTGTGCTCCCATGGCAAATAAATGTACTTTTAACATGTATTGTTTTAATGTTGTCAGCTCTTTGACCATCCTGATTCATCCACAGAATTTAAGGCAAGAGAAAATACAATAATAAATGTGACAAGTTTAGACAATTGTCTGTGACGCAAATATTTGACTGCCACATACTATAAGATGTGTCATCGGGGAAAAAAAAGAACTGCAGCATAACACAGATACAGCAGAAAAAAGGGAATGTTCTATACTGGATGTGAATTAAGGCCAGAACCTTAATTGGCAATGAAAAGCTAAAACCCTAGTGAAGATCTCAAACTCTTGTTATTAATAGGCTTTTATACACACACACACTGTCACTGTACAACAATTTAAGTCACAATTTGCTATGAATTCCCTTGAGTCTGCTTGTACCTTATTTTGTAAATGCTGTCTGACCACCCTCATTCATGTTGGAGTCAGGCTGCTCAGAATTTATTTAACTTAGTTGTATCTTGAGGTATTAAGCACATACCAAGGCTCAAAGAAGGTATCACAGGTGTTTAAATCCATTACAAGTGGAGGTTCACAATACAGTGGGGCATGGGGCAGGAGGTACAGTATACTGTACAAATGAATAGACTAACAGAGACTATAATGTATGTGCAGTATAACCATAGCCTGTTCTGTAATGGATGCTGGGGTCCAAGGTAAATCTGCCAGGCATTGCAAAGGGCAGAAATGTATCCAGAAATACAAAACAAAAATGAAATTACCCTGAATAAGCATTTAAATTCATTGCTCTGTAGTGAAGAACAGATGTCCACTGTGTGATGTAGATCTTAAGACTAAAAATAACTTTATTCTGTGCTGATATTAACAGCCCACCTGCTTTCAGACTATGAGGAGCATCTGCTTGTTTGTCCTCTAGACTCATAGCTGCGGACTCATTCTTTTCAGCATTTTTGCAAGCAGAACAGTACCCACTCAACTGTTTTCAGATTTGTATGCCAAGTGACCCTAAATAACAACTACAGTGGAAATCTAAAGATTAAACACATAAGGAACCACCTCTACTACTACAATAAATCTGAATCCACAGTATGACTAGAAATGTTGTAATGAAGGGTGAGTGTCTTAATTGCAAGACTAGTTACTGTACAGTATGTCTATCATCATACTTATTTTTGCCTGGGAAATGTGTGTTTAAGAAAATGTGCCCTTGTGAATGTAGCAAATGTAGTTCCTAAATTCAAGGGTGCTCTGCTCTCAGCAAATTCCCAGGGACAAGTGCTGTAATTCTTCCTTGTGATGTGTTACATATTGCAGAGTCGTGCACCTATCTCGGCCAAGCTCGTAGCCAACATGTTGTCAGTAGCAGGAGCAGATCACATTATTACTATGGACCTTCATGCTTCCCAGATTCAGGTGAGTGTTTGTACAAGGCAGAGTTGCGTGGATGTGCTGTATCAATGTCCAGTTTTGCTCACCTTGGCATTTAAACTTTGGCTGGGATTTTGCAATGCACGTGCAAATCTCCATTTGCCAAATTGTGTTGTGCTGAGCAAGGGCTTATTATCATTGATAAAAGCGAGTAATCAGCTTTGAAACTGATTGCAAAAAAAAAAGGCTGATGTTTCAGATGTTGTAAGGTGAACACTGGAACATGGGCTTAAAAAGACTGAGACTGTCGAGCAGTGTAACTACAGTATGTTTAATAATATGTGACACTGTATTCATATTGTCCACATGTGAACTGCAGATTCTAAGGTATAGAGAGCAGCACGTTTTGAAGTATGTACAGTATGCTTATACAGTAACAGCCCATTGATGTTGACATTCTTAAAACTATGGATCATTCTAATTCAGTAAACTAGTAAAAATAGTTCAGTAGAGTGTGTTAGCAGAAAGCAAATGAAAGCAAACTCTAGAATCAGAAATACAATTATTTCCTATATAGTTTAAACCTGGCTTCAAATAAAAAAGCCTGCAAAAAAACTTGCTTTAAACTGTACTTTCAGTGCACAGGAAATGGATGCTTTGCCTTTGTTTTTCAAATTATAAGTTGTTTTTATCTACAAGACATATGCTTAATAATAAATATGTTATAGTTTCATTGTGTGAGATACATGTGTGCTTTTAAGTAAAGCCACAATATCTTCTGTTTGCAGTCTTGACCAGCCTTGTTTTTATTCCACCTGATAACAGCTACAGTACATTCAGAGAAATGAAAATACCCAGAAAATAGAAGCACTCAAATTCATAATAATTTCCTATTTGTACTAATAGAACGGAAGGTATTGAATGGCTTTTAACAATTTAAGGGCGTCAAAGCTGGCTTGTAACAGTGACCTTTAGCCAGTGATTAAAATGGCAGATTAATTTGTACTCTTGCAGAAAATACAAATTGAACCTGGATAGGCCAAACTGTATAAAGTGTATAAACTCCCACATACCGTATGTGAGGTTTTGTAAAGACAGTGTTATACAGTGTGATCTAGTTGTTTATAAAAAATCCCCCCCTGTACTTTGTAGGGTTTTTTTGATATCGCTGTGGACAACCTGTACGCGGAGCCTGCAGTGCTACAGTGGATTAAAGAAAACATCCCAGAATGGAGGAACTGCATTATTGTGTCACCAGACGCAGGTGGAGCAAAACGGTAAGTGCAAGAGCTAAAGGGCTTGTGGGTGCCGGCGCGGGATCCTGCACCGCATGTGGGTATAGACCTGTTGGGACAGAGTGTCTCGTTGGATATGTCCAATAAGAAGGGGTCAGAGTGCAGCTACACAGGAACAAGTAGAGGTGAATTCTGTCTAGTTCCTATCTCGATTAGCAATGCACGGTCAGGGATATGTGTTTATTTCAAGGCTTTGGATCATTTCCAAATCATGTCTGGTATGGATTGACATTGAGCGACTTTGCTTGACTGCTTTAGGTGCAGTTCTGTGGCAGTGAAACACAAAGTATTTCTTATCTAACAGCTTTTTAAGCCAGCAGCCATATCACCCTGCAACTCACAACTGGAAACCCACTTAAGCTAAGCAGGTGTGAGCCTGGTCAGTACCTGGATGGGAGACCTCCTGGGAAAAACTAAGGTTGCTGCTGGAAGAGGTGTTAGTGGGGCCAGCAGGGGGCGCTTACCCTGCGGTCCATGTGGGTCCTAATGCCCCAGTATAGTGATGGGGACACTATACTGTAAACAGGTGCTGTCCTTCAGATGAGACGTAAAAACCGAGGTCATTAAAAATCCCAGGGTGTTTTTCGAAAAGAGTAGGGGTGTAACCCCGGCGTCCTGGCCAAATTTCTCATTGGCCCTTACCAATCATGGCCTCCTAATAATCCCCATCTATGAATTGGCTTCATTACTCTGCTCTCCTCCCCACTGATTGCTGGTGGTGGTGATTGCTGGTGGTGAGCGTTCTGGCGCACTATGGCTGCCGTCGCATCATCCAGGTGGATCCTGCACATTGGTGGTGGAGGGGAGTCCCCATTACCTGTAAAACGCTGAGTGGAGTGTCCAGAAAAGCGCTATATAAGTGTAAGCTATTATTATTATTATTATTATTATCATACAAAAGGGCACTGTTACATCATTATACCACAAGAGGTCAGACTTTACTCATTCAATATTTTATCCTTACCTACTAAGGTCAGATCTATTTACATCTTGTAGCACTTTTCACTTTGAAATTCCTGATACAGTCATTTCAGTGTGTACTGTAAATCTGCCAGCTCTGGGAATTTGCTCCTTTCATACATTTTGCTAAATGAAATACCAGCAGCTACAGTCTGTAGCTACATGTATTTCGCTGAGATTCACTTTTAAAAGAAATGCTGAAAAGGGTTCATCCTAAAATGCATAAAGGCCTGCTTTTCTAGAATGTGACAATACCTTCTTGAAAGCAAATAAATATTTTTTGATTCCTGCAGCCAAAGAATTAAAACTAGTGCATTGGTTCTCAATCCTGGACCTGCAGGACTCCTTCTTTTTCATCTGGGTTTTACTCCAGACGATTAATTGCAAGCTAATTCATTTCAGTTCTGTTTGAGGCCCGTTTTAAATGTGCTTTCAGCTCGTTAAAACCTGAATGGGATTTGTACAGTAATTGTTACCAACCCTGTACTGATTAGTTTCAGAGCTTCCTCATTATGGTGGATTAGTTGAAATGTAATCATTTGGGTTTCGGTTAAAGCAAACGCTCCTTCACTATTGGGGAAAAGCTGGTATCGTATATTGCCACTCCCATTCATCAGAAATGTGTCAAATATTAAGCAAGTTGAAAAGAGATAACAGAAGGATCTGTAAGCATGGAAATAATGCATTTTTGCATTTATTTTAGAGACTAAGGCCTGGGTGCAAAGAAAGTACAAACAAGCAAGCAAATCAGTTACAGGCATCAGTTAGTACCCGAGTTTAGGAAACTAGCTGGAATGAAAACCAGCAGATACAGTGTTCCCCTAACATCCAGGATGGAAAATTGCTAGTCGCCTTTGCTTGGCTGTTATTTTTAGCGGAGGAAATGCATTTTTGCATTAATTTATCGACTTACTATTTTCAGGGTGACTTCAATTGCTGACCAGCTGAAGGTTGACTTTGCTCTGATTCACAAAGAGAGAAAGAAGGCCAATGAAGTACACCGAATGGTTCTGGTTGGAGAGGTGAAAGACCGCGTGGCTATTCTGGTCGACGACATGGCTGACACATGTGGTACCGTCTGCCATGCTGCTGACAAGTGAGTGTCCGTGCGACACTGGCCTGGCGCAGAACTGAAACTGGGCAAGGTGCTGCTTTTAGGCTTCACGCTCAACAGGCTGACATTTAGTGAAATATGAGTAATCTTTTGGCTAAATACCTTAAATTGATGTTTCCAAACTAGAGAGGTAGGAGGTCTCACTCATTTAACACTTGTTAAAATATCTTTCATGTGTGTAATGAATAACAGTAGCAAATGTGATAATGCGTAGGAGCACTTTTTTGTTTCTAAATGCTAGATCTTATATGTTTGAACATTCTAATTGTTGCGATACGGGTTTTATTCCCAGTGAAACGCAGAACACCTGGAGAAAATTCACTCTTCTTTTTCTTGTCTAGACTGATGTCAGCCGGAGCAACAAAAGTGTATGCAATACTGACACATGGGATCTTGTCTGGTCCTGCCATTTCCCGCATAAACAATGCAGCCTTTGAGGCTGTAGTAGTTACCAACACCATTCCACAGGAAGAGAAAATGAAAGTGTGCTCAAAGATTCAGGTAAATATTTTTTTTCCACCTGTGTGCTCCAAACAGTATTTTCTCATGTTTCAAAAATGTGGATTAACAGCCTGTAACTATTGAGGTTAATCATTAGTGAGTAGCGGAAAGTGCAGACTGGACCGGCGTTCACTTTAACACATTGAAGGTTTAATCTCCTCATTCATCTCTTTTACCAAAAAAACAAATTGAAAACCACAGAGGTTTCACTTAAGCTGACGCCTGCGTTTGTTCTCTACAAACACTGTTCACACCTCTTAATGCATTTGATCCACTAAAAATACCATAAGAGCTTAATAAAGGCTGAGTATAACCAATGTATCATTCTGCTGTAGGTCATTGACATCTCCATGATCCTTGCTGAGGCAATAAGAAGAACCCACAATGGAGAATCGGTCTCCTACCTGTTCAGCCATGTTCCTTTGTAAAGGAAAAGAGGAAGATCATGTTTTTTGCTGGTCTGCTTCTGCATGATTTCAGCAACAAGCCACCTGGAAGAATGAAGGACCATCAGAGGGACAAGCTTAGTGACTGGAATTAATCCACTTGTAGCCACAGACGTCACTTCAAAGATGAGCTTCTCCTTACTTTATGTCCCAGTGTGTGCTTTCCAGTTTTAAAACCCAGAACACTGGTCAAGGGGCTTAGCTTTAGTTGATACCTCAGTGTGTTTCAAAGTAATCAATGGAGAATTCCAGTGATTTTTAAGGAGAATGATTGCTACAGATTTCTATGTATGTAGATAAGATTTAGGTTTATTATAATTAATTTTTGTTCAGATTGATTTGTCCGGGTGAAAGCTGTTTGAAGACTCCACAAGTTTCTATAGATCTATACATTGCTGACCAATGCCTGTGTTTAATTTAGACGGTTTTATACGGTATATACTGGAGAAATACCGTTTTTCTGTGTCCTGGAAATTTAGGTTTATTGGAAACTGAATAAATGGAATGGCACTATAAGGCAGGGAAACATTTTTTTCAGCTTTTTGTTCATGCCTTTCAAAGAATTCTGATGATGGTTCCCTGAGGTGAACAGGGCCATGTTTCATTATAAACAGTTGCATGTATTTCACCCTTCTCTAATATGCTTATTTCAGCTGTCTCCCCCCCCCAGGCTTGTCTCATGAAGTTCGTTTTCTTTATTTAATAAACATGGGACAGACTTTATTGCCTTGTACTGTTAGTAACATACTAATTTTGTCATGTGGGGATACAAGAACTGCTATAATAAGAACATTAATTGGAACATTCTGCCTACAATAAATTGTTAGTAGGCCCCATGCGGCCCCAAGTGTCAAGGTAACCCCAAGGCCCTGACACTGCCTATTTGAACCCAGAAAATTGTCCCTGGACCTGGATTCCCAGACCAGCAGCACACCAGGGAGTCTACAGATGGTGGTGGGCATTTGTTGGAAAGCAATTCCTAGGCTTGTAGTGAAACAGCAGTGCTGGGACTTCATAGGTGGCAGCATGTCAGTCATGCCAGTGAGAAACGAGCTGCTCTACCTGCTGGTGCTAAATCTTCTGTAAGGTCCTATGGAGCTTGCAGCATGTTTAAAGTTTAATTGCCCTAAAGGTTTGGTGTAACAGAGGTGCAAGTCCCCGTTCTCTCTGTGCCAGTCGAGAGCTGCGGTCTTCAGAAAAAGCCTATTGACAGTTCCAAATGAAGTGGGGATTTAATAAACCAAGGTGGCCAATCCAGATTTCTAAAGAAAGAGTAAGCAACATTGTTGCTTGTTACAAGGCAGCAGTTCAGCACATTCTAATACTGCGCCCTGCATTATCTGAGAATGTTCTAGATCGGATCCTTTATTTGCACTTGAATTGAGTCCAGGAAAGCAATCAAAATTTTAAAAACAGGGGTCGTTAAGGGTCCGGAGTGAAAAGCATCAACATGGATTTCCCCTGAAACAATATCAGGAAAATCCTTGCTTTTATTTTCTTATAATCATACCATGAAATAAGAGTAATGATCGTGTACTTTACTAGCAGAGTAGAGAGATCTATCGAACAGAAGGGTTCTTGAAGGTGGCTGATGACTTGAATCCAAGCTCTGTAGTGCTCTTTATAGCAGGGGGCACAGTCCTGGTTCAGTTGTTTGTTGCACATGAACAATATATTAAGCAATGGAGTCCTTCATAGATGTAATAATAGGTTTAATTTGATCTTTGTTTTCTAGTCCTAAACAGTTGCCTTTTAACTATTGTGTTTCTTAAAATTCTCACCTTTAAGTATAAAAAAAAGTTGAAAAGGTTCTAACCAATGTGTTGATTCAGTTAAGCATTCATTTGCGAGCTGCAGGTGTTCAAGTCCTCAGGGCCACGATGGCACTGTGTGTCACTCCAGGTCCTAAGAGACTTCCGGTCTTTCCACCTGGGCTCTTAAAAGACTTGACCAACTCGATTGCTCACTTCATTGTTTTCTATTACCACTGCTGGTCATTATTCATTATTAAGGAGTGCACGTTACCTGCTTTATAAAACCTGTGAAACAGAACAGTCCTAAAAGACCATGAGTGAATATCACTGGTGCACAGCTCCAGTCCTCAAGGGCCAGAAATTAACTGTTTTTTTTTAGGACTCTTTAAATTATCAACAGCAGAACAGTGTTTAATTGGACTGTTTAAGCCAATTTCCTCAATCAGGCCATGAAGACAAAAGGTGGAATAAAAGCCTGCAGAAGCTACAGTCCTCTAGCACTGGAGCTGTGCACCACTGCTATAATATTCAAATACAGAGGTCTAGCTGGCTAGTCCTCACCAAGTGTTGATCCACCAGAAACTCACCTACTGTATGTACCACAGACCAGTTAAAATCTGTGCTTTGGATGCCAGGACATATAGGACTACAGTGGGTCAATAACGCTTCTTAGAAAAAGTTTCAAAATGGAAGTTTAAATGTTGAGAATTGCATACAAAGGTTTACACAGCCTCGCTGTGTTACATTATCATTCCCTTCATGTGTTTAAACTTGAAATACCATGTTATAGTATCTTTGTCATCCTTTAAGGCAGTCTTTCAGTGTTGTCTATGCCTCACTGTGGACGCCAGAGACATCAGTAATTACATTTCTCCATGTTATAATGTCTTGTATTGGTGTAGTGCTTTTCTGGATGGGAACCAACAACTTCCTCCATCACTGACATGCACACGGCACATAGCAGCTTAGCCCCACTACCCCACATGTGGTGGAGACAAACTCATCACTTCCAATAAAGGGGGAATTTAGAAAAGGTAAACTAGGTTGAGGAAGGTGAACGTTAGCCAAAACACTGGAGTTAATGCACATACTCTTTTTTTCGAGTTAGTATCTAAGTTTACGGTTTCACCCAAAAGATAGCAGCTTCTGCAGCACAATACTGTATATGCTGTCATCACACTGGGGTATTGGTCTGAAGACCCTGTTCCAAATGAAACCGCTCCACCTACAAGTCCACCAGTATCGGATACCTAAGCCTCGTTCTGATATGATTGTTTCCTGGTTTGATTGGATTGTTTCTTCCATCACATTCTGATGGAAAATGTTAACTTTTTAATCTAGGTTTCCAAGTTCATTGTATGACAGTTTCTGAGGTCTCTTGCCTTTCTGTATTTTTATTTTCTTTTTCAGTTTTGGATTTGGGACTTGTGAATTCTTACTTTTTTGGCATTCTTATAGTTTATCATTTGAATGATTATCCTGAAAGAAAAAAAAATGTAAAAAGTGGTTTTTGCAGTATTCTTAAAAATTAAAATGTTGACTGTAGACTTTTTTGTAGACTGAAAGATCATAATACATGTACACATCCCATACCCATTTTAAACATATTTGCGAGTTTGGCTTTAGGTATTTAGAATTGTTTGCATCATTTGTCAGACTCAGGATAAATTAAAAATCTGTTTTGGCTGGAATTATTGTAAGCAAATGTAAAGTGTTAATGCTGGATTGTTGCTGCTTTCTTTTACTGCGTTCATTAACACGCAACAGGAAACACGGTTACTTCATAGACTGTAGGAATCAAAAACCTACTATATCATTGCACAAGCATTGAAATTGTAGACCAAAACTTTTTTTTTTTACTCTTGTGTAATGAGTATCTTTCACAATAAATCTGGTGATTTTGAACTTGATCTTTGTTTTTTAGTATTTTTTATAGTATTATGTGGGGAATACCTACAGTACATTTAAAACAAGGAATAAGTGTCAGGACACTTCTCATTAATTTATCAGATTAGTCGACCTAAATTAGTTTTGAACGGTAGCAGATATAGAATGCAAGGCAATAATGATAAGTATCTTAACAAAAAAGGGGGAATTGAAGGTATTCATTTCCCCCAATGAATTAGAAACAAAACTGTCATGTAACAGAATGGGTAATGGATTGGAAAATGTGTCCAGTGTGTACAGAGTGTGTAGTATTTGTCTTAATGGATTTGGATAATATAAGGGGCACATTTATTCACACGACTACATATTTAAATACAATCAAATAAAAACAAATCTATAATAGCATTGTGCTCTTTGTAAGTTCTCATGGAACTATACAGAGGTTTCCAAAGGTTACCTGCTTCCCTATGGTATAGAAGGAGGTAACACGTGGCAGACAGTTGTAACAGCATCACCGTGTTTAAGGTATGAGCTCTTTAATGTCATTGGTCGATGGTTGCAGATGGTCGTGCACACAAGTTGGATGGCTTTAAAAGAATCACAAAAGGCTGAATCTACATTGTACTGCATTGTCCATGAAGCGAGCTGCAGGATGAGGCTGGGGACTAACAGTTGTCCACCACAAGCAGCCTAAGTTCTTTAAAAATAACAAAAAAACACTGAGTGGAAACAGGCAGCCACATGACAAAAAAGCTATACATGGCTGGTAAGTACCTGGAACCTGAAGTTAAACTGTTTCAAGATCTATGAAAAAACACTGAGTCGATTCAGAAAAATATATTATGAAGAGAGTTTTGTTCTGTAGTAATCTTGTGTTGCAGGGCTGAAACAATGAAGATGGCATGTTTGTCTTGAGTTTGCAAGGATTTTACATAAATATTAATATACAGTACTGTACACTACATGCAGCATAAGGTGGCAGGGGGCCACATTGGTCAGTTTTGCTTCCTGTCAGTGCTGGGGCTGTGGGGTAAATTCCTGGGCTGCAATCATTATGGAGTTTGTATGTTCTCCCTGCGTTTGCGTGCGTTTTCTCTGGGTGTTCCAGTCTCCTTCCACAATCCAGGGTGTACCCTGCCTTTCTGCCATTACTTGCCAGGATAGTCTCCGACCCCCTCACAACTAATGGATAAAGTGGTTAGATAATGGATACATGCATATACTGCACAGCAGGTTCACAGACACCATTGTATGAAGAGTGTCATAGAAGCAACAGATCATGCAGGTCAGCTGGCTTGTCAGTTTAGCGTCCCTGAGGTTCCTCGTACAGTATGGAAAATCTAAAACAGTATCCACAGAAAAACTTGGCAATCTATTCTTACACACTCATAAAACCAAGAAACTTATCTTCACTCCAAACATTACTTTCAAGGTATTTGATTCTCTCATTGTAAAATTTTATTTTTAATTCATTCTGCACAACACTCTGTATTTCAACTGCATTACAGAGGCAGTTACACAAAAATCCCTCAAGCTGAAAATGTTCGAAATTAGCTGTAGTGTTTTTAGTTTCTGCCAAAGACAGGAAAATCAATTTAAAATAGGTCTGAGTGATTAAATAACTGTAAACCAGACTCATAAAAAGATTGATTCACATTGATATTACATGTTAATATAGTTAAGTTACAATACAGACTTACAAGTGTTAAGATGTTCAAAAGTTATAACTACTATCTTTATGCATCACAAGGCATTGCATGACCTTGATGGGAAACTACTAAAACAATTCATGCTTTCAGAGTTTCAGTTTCGTTTTACTGAGAAACTGTAACTTAAAGGTGCTCCAAAAATCAGTAGACCTAAAACACATTTTAATCTATTTGTCAACTTCTGATTTTGTAAATTCTCAGTACGAATGAGAAAGGTAAGTCCTTTTGTCAAGGCATAGTTTTTATTCTTTATTTTTGAAAATGTTTTTATTTAAACTGAAGTTATTGCAACTTGTTTATTTAAGGTATAAATATTATTGATATTTGTTTACATGTTCTACAGTAATGCAATTCAATGTTCAGCTATGTAGCACAGACGCTGAAATACCTTTTATTGAATGCAATTAGCAAAACAGCAAAAATGATTGGCTACAACTTTTTGTTATTATATTTTATATTTTTAAAGAAATAGATATTTTAGTTGATGTATGATCATTTTCACTTTTAATTTGTATAATTATATTTCAAATGTTTATAGACATTGATATTTTTAGCTGGTTACTTAAGAGGTAGCATTACCATCTCAAGGGAGAGCAGAATGGCAGTATAAAATACCAAATTACATAATACTGTATATGAATGTCTACCAACCAGGTGAATTATACTCTTCTTCATTTATGAAAGCTAGTTTTTTTTTTCATTTTAAATACATCGATAGAATATTGCCCAGGAAGATTTAAAGACAGAAATGAAAGACAAGCGGCCTGTGCTGCTAGGAATATTGTTAAATTATATGACTTCACATTACTTAAGGCATAATCACCAACTACAGAAACAGCTCCATTGACGTACTTCATTTGTTGTTGTTTTTTCAATTCTTCTAATTATATATCCATTCCATTTAATAGGCAAAGTGCAAGTATTTTTTTAAAAGGGATGCGAATGTGTGCATCAACCACAGCAGTTGCAACGTCAACAATATGTGTTATTTTTCAATCAGGCATAATCTACAGTATGTGGTTCTCCTGACTTGGGGGGGAAAAAAGTATTAAGGCTGCATATAACAATGAAAAGCATGTTACATAATTTCTGTTCAATAAAAAGTCTTATGTCTTTATAAAATTAAGTATATTATATTATGCTTTGTTAGGTTTTAAGGGTTTGAAGCAAATAAGGAAGTAAGACTATATATACTTTCATTGTCTTTCAGGGGCTGTTCTGACTTCAACACAGGCATTCTGGTGTGACCAGTATGAAACGGGCTTCATTTCTGCTGCTCTTTATAATGATCTGTAAAGGATCATTAAAGGAATTGAACTGTTGAAAGGCATTACGTGGTTCCATGGTGGATAACTGTCACTTCAAAACAATTTATTTTGCAAAAGGAAACATTAATACAGATCTTTTCAAACATTTTCACTTGTTTTATAGCAAGCAACTATGGTGAGTATCACTTCCACATTTACTTGTTTAAAAGCTTCTCTTTTCAAAAATATATTCACAGAGGGGATTTATTTAGAGAATGTGCAATACTTATTTAAAAATGGTTCACTGGTACTGTGTTGCAATACCTCAATATTATGAAACTACAGCATACTCTTTTTTTAGATATAGGACATTTCCCTGTTGAATATTTAATATTTCGGTGTTGTTTTCTCGTGGTACTTCTCTTGGATGATACTGATTTAACAAGTTTTTCTTTAACCTGATTACAATTTTTAAAACAGATTCAGTATGTCTTGTATGCCTTTGTAAGCTTTGTTTATTTAATTTGCTTTGTAACCTGATAATGTGCTGGCACAAATAACTTTCAATACAGAGTAAAAAATGGCAATAATAAATTTACACTTTCCCCAAAGGAATACCTTGGATATGTAAGTGAAACAAATTAGTTACTTACAGCACAGTATCTGTTAAATTGCTCCTACAAGTGGAAATAAAATACAAATACAGTAATTTAAATTTCAAATCTCTTGGGGACATACTCTGCTCTGCAACAGTCTTATATGTCTTCTTGTCTTATATGTTTTTGTTATACTGTATATAACACCTTGTTAAAGATTTAATACAGATCAGTTTGAAGCCGAAGAAACCAAGCTCGCCATTTATTAATGTTTTTATCCATCAAAACTACTTGAATAATTTTCAGGTGTTTCAGGAACATTAACATGACATGTTTTCTCCATTCATCCATAAAGCTAAAACATTAAAACAAAATATCAGCTATAGCTTCAGTAGAAGGGCACCATAAAATTGTGTTTCTGTGTCATGAAAGAATCACAATTATAAAACTTGTGCAAGGCAGTGTGTAGACAGAGATTTCTGTGTTTTGAGTTGGGAACATGTGTATTGTATGCCCTCATAGCAACAACATTATAGCTATAGTTACTGCTAAGCATCCCTCTGCCACAGAAATAATATAATTCAGGTCATGCTGCCTTCACCTGGCTGAAAATAATATATCTGGCTTTAATATGTGGATGTAAATAAAATGGAACATCTTTGATGTTGCTAAAAGTGCCATGGATTCTTTAGCACTCAAGTCACCAGGACCTTGATTTAGCATCTCGTCCAAAATATGACACTTTCTGCAATACAGTGTACCCTGTCATCATTCTGGGGCACTGATAAGGAAGTTCTGTTCTTCAGGGACATTGGTCAGCTACTGGTCCATCATAACATGGTTTTCCTTAAAGGTCTCCCCTTCTATCGTTAAGCTTCCCTGTCTTGCTTAGGTTTTGTTGATGTAGTGTTTTTTATTGAACAATTTAGTTTTTTGGTTTGTATATGATTAGTTCCTATTTCAAATTGGCATCTTCATTTCTTTTCAGACAGTGTGTAGTGGCCCTTCCAGCAGAGTAACAACCACCATCTTATGGGTACTTATTTCTACAACTCAGGCTGCAAGGTGGTACCCCAAAAGTTTGCCATGTGATGTGACTACTCCAGAAAATGGAACCACTGTCCTTGTTAACTGTAATGAAAGAAGACTTACAGAAGTACCAAAAGAAGTTCCATCGAACGTCACAAATTTGACTCTGACCATAAACCACATACCCTTCATTGACAAGACATCCTTCAAAGGACTGGAGAACCTCACTGAAATTGACTTCCGCTGCAACTGTGTTCCTATAAAAATAGGGCCAAAAGACCACGTCTGCACAAAGAGTCTGAGTGTTGAAGACGGGAGTTTTTCAGCACTGACAAATTTAAGAGTACTGTACCTGGATGGCAACCAGCTCTCAAGCATACCTCGGGGTCTTCCACCCAACCTGATTGTGCTCAGCCTTGAAGTAAACAGGTTTTCCTCCATTCTCAAGACAAATCTGTCAGAACTAACAAACGTGAAATATCTTTATTTTGGGCAGAACTGCTACTATCGCAATCCCTGCAACACTTCATTTCAAGTTGAGGATGGTGCATTCTATCACCTGAAAATGCTAACTTTGTTATCTCTGAAATCAAATAACATGTCCTATGTTCCTCACAACCTTCCTACAAGCTTAAAAGAGCTCTACCTTTATAATAATAACATTCAAAGGATATCTAAGGAAGACTTTCAAAATATGACTAATCTAGAAATACTGGATTTAAGTGGGAACTGCCCACGATGTTATAATGCACCATTCCCTTGTGTACCTTGCCCCAATGATTCCCCGATACAGATAGATTTACATGCCTTTCAGGCGTTAAAGAAACTGAAGATATTACGCCTTCACAGTAATTCTCTGAGGAAAGTCCCTCCAGAATGGTTTAAACACACAGATTCTCTTAAAGTTTTAGATCTTTCAGCCAATTTTTTGGCTACAGAGATAACAGTTGCTGCTTTTCCAAAATATTTACCCAGGCTTGAAGAGTTAGACCTCTCATTCAATTATGAGCAACAAAGGTATCCTGCATCACTTTGTCTTAATGAGTCGTTTTCTTTGCTAACCTCACTCAAGGTGTTGAGAATAAGGGGGTATGTTTTCAAAGAATTGAGAAGAACAGATATTACTCCATTAACTAAACTTAGCAAACTTGTGATAGTTGATCTTGGCACCAACTTCATAAAAATGACAAACCTAAATTTTCTACAGGACCTTAAAAGTTTCCAGATAATAAATCTTTCAGACAACAAACTATCCTCTTCTTCCGAGGAAGAGCAAATGAATGGGTTTTTGTCAAGAGATTCTTCACATTCTCCAGTGGGAAGCAATGCCCAGTATTATAACGAGGAAGAGAAAGACATACATTATTTTAGATATGATGAATATGCACGTAGCTGCAAGGACAAGGACAAAGAGGTTGGTGCCTTAAGTACCTCTCTGAATAAAAAATGCAGTCAGTTTGGAAAAACTCTGGATATTAGTAGAAATAACATATTTTATATTGATGCAAAAGAATTTTTAGGCTTTGGTGATCTCAGATGTCTTAACCTGTCAGGAAATGCTATGAGTCAGTCATTGAATGGCTCAGAGTTTATTCACCTCACCAGTCTGCAATACTTAGATTTCTCATTCAACCGCCTTGATTTATTATATTCTACAGCATTTCAGGAACTGCAAAACTTAACAGTTTTAGATCTCAGTTACAACAATCATTATTTTTTATCTGAGGGTCTAACACACATGTTAAACTTTACAAAAAATTTGCCAAAACTTCAAAAATTAATGATGAACTTTAATGGAATTTCCACTTCAACCAACACAGAGATGGAAAGCCTTTCTCTTGAAATACTGGAATTTAAAGGAAACCGTCTGGATTTTTTATGGAGAGATGGGGATACAAGATACAGCAATTATTTTAAAAAATTATTCAACCTGAAGCTTCTCGATATCTCCTCCAACAATCTCAATTTTATCCCTAAGCAAGTTTTCATGGGGTTACCAGACAAACTCTCTGAGCTCTACATAAATAACAACAATCTGAAAACGTTCAGCTGGGAAAAGCTAGACCACCTCAATCAACTACAGATTTTAGACCTCAGCACCAATCAATTAACCACTGTTCCTTATGAGCTCTCTAATTGTACCAAATCTCTTCAAAAATTGCTCTTGAGCAACAACCAAATCTCAAAACTTACCACATATTTTCTCAGGGATGCTTTTAGCCTGAAATACTTGGACCTCAGTTTCAATCAAATCCAGTACATTGAACAATCCAGCTTCCCAGAAAATATTCGGAATCACTTAGAAATCCTATTGCTGAACGGAAATAAATTCATGTGCACATGTGATGCTGTTTGGTTTGTCTTATGGATCAACCAAACAACAGTGAAAATCCCCCGTCTGGCTACAGACGTGACCTGTGCCACTCCCAGGACTCAAAAAGACCGCAGTGTCATCTTTCTTGATTTACAAACCTGCGAGCACAATTCCCTATCAATTATATTATACATCTTGTTAACCTCTGCCATTCTCAGCCTTCTCTCACTATCTATCTCCAGTCACCTATTTTTCTGGGATGTATGGTACTTTTATCACTTCTGTGCAGCGAAGATGAAGGGTTACCGTTCTCTGTCATCACAAAGTTCATGCTATGATGCTTTTATTGTCTATGACAGGAAGGATCAGGCAGTTTCTGAGTGGGTTTTCCATGAACTTCGAGCTAATTTAGAAGACCGAGGAGATATGCAATTCCAACTGTGCTTGGAAGAAAGAGACTGGATACCTGGCTACCCCCTCATTGACAATCTGTCTCAGAGTATACAGCAAAGCAAAAAGACGGTGTTTGTGCTCACCAACAGGTACATATTGAGTGGAAATTTCAAAACAGCGTTTTACATCGCTCATCAACGGCTCATGGATGAGAAAGCTGATGTTATCATTTTGATTTTCCTTGAAAAGTGCCTGCAGTATTCCAAATACTTAAGACTGAGGAAAAGACTGTGCAGAAGCTCTGTACTTGAGTGGCCATCAAACCCCCAAGCCCAGCATTATTTTTGGCTGTGTCTGAGGAATACAATGGCTACAGATGGCCACACACAGTATAACAATCCCTTTGAGGAGACACTGTAGAAATTAAAGAATGTGGTTTTCAAAGAGTGTAACATTGCCAATAATGTTAAAATAATATTTCAGGGATTACATTGTGCAGCCTTTTAACAGTTCAGTTTTTCAAATTCTTATATTTATACAACTGTAAATTACATTTTTGTGAAGATTCTAGGACATGGGACGTGGGGCAGCTGAGTGAGTCAATAAATAAAAGATACTGATTCTAAGCACAGGCTGGGTGCCATTTTTTGGTTTCTGTCTTGGCTTTGCACATAGCCAGCTGCATCTGGCTATGTGCAAAAGGTGGAAGAGGTGTTAGTTGGGCCAGCAGGGGGCGCTCACCCTGCGGCTCATGTGGGTCCTAATGCCCCAGTGTAGTGACGGGGACACTATACTATAAACAGGCACCGTCCTTCGGATGAGACATAAAACCGAGGTCCTGACTCTCTGTGGTCATTCTCGAAAAGAGTAGGGGTGTACCCCGGCATCCTGGCCAAATTTCCCCATCAGCCTTTATCAATCATGGCCTCCTAACAATCCCCCTCTATGAATTGGCTTCATTACTCTGCTCTCCTCCCCACTGATCGCTGATGTGTGGTGAGCGTTCTGGCGCACTATGACTGCCGTCGCATCATCCAGGTGGGGCTGCGCATTGGTGGTGGTGGAAGGGAGTCCCCATTACCTGTAAAGCGCTTTGAGTGGAGTGTCCAGAAAAGCGCTATATAAGTGTAAGCAATTATTATTATTATTATTATTATTATTATTATTATTATTATTATTATCGGGATTCTCCATCTAAATGTGCCATTAGGGCTGGGTAAAGTGGTCGGTGTATCTGTGTGTTTGAGTACTCTGAGAGAGAGCCAGGCTGCTCCACTAGATACTGCTGATCCTGCAGCAGTCACTGTCAGGGGATGGGCTGGGATCTGCTGGCCAAGTCCTTTCAGCCTGCAGGGAAACAGCAGCTCCTCTGGCTCCCTGGACACCCGCAAGCCTGGGAAGAAAAGAACTACTCCTGTGGCACACCATGGAACTTGCAATTAGCTGAAGGTCAGAGAAGCATGTTATCAGCCTCTTCTCATACTCCCTACACTGTTGGTGCCAGCGTTGCTAAGGCAATAGAAATCAGGCACCCAATTGCGCGGGTGTGAATAAATGAAAAATACACAAAACTGAAGTTTAAAGACTGGTGAGGTTGAGTTAATGGTTCCAGATGGGGTGAGGTATAAAATAATTTTTGGCAGTTGACAACAATTTGAAAAGAGGAAGGGTAAAGAAAAAAACTAGGTACTTTACAATCTAGGAGTATTTGATTTTGCTTATTTATTTCTTCCTTTTTAAATTCCAAAAGCAAATCTAAATACCCTGAAGAATTAAACTGAGGTTTTTTTATTCCTTAAACACTTCATAGTTATAGTTTAAGAACATTAGAACAATTGCAAATGAGAGGAGGTCTTTCATCTAACTTGTGTAGTTAGAAGTTAATTGATCTCTTCCATACAGTATGTTTCCTTAAAGTTACCAAGATATAGGATTCAAAGGCATTGCTGGGTAGCTTGTTCCATACTCCCACAATCCCTTAGGTAAAAAAGTGCTTCATGTTTTTACTTTTAAACACCGTTCCAGGTAGTTTCACTTGTGTCACTGGTTCATTTTCCACTGTTCATTCTGAATCTAGGTTGACTTTGTCAGTGTCAGTATCACAATCTTCTGTGTCCAAGACTAAAAAGGTTCTGTATTTTTCATTCTGTGTAACTTTTTAATGGTTTTTCCAAATTGTCTAGAAGATGTAAATGATGTTTCAACATAAATGTCTAAGACACCTATAGTAAGTAGATCAGTACAGCTTATGAGTCAATGTTTTCCCATTTTGTATTATTGTTTATTTTTCTTTAGCATGTAAAAATCTGCACTTGTCTATATCAGACACACCATTTACAAGGTGTTTGCCCAGTCTTCATTGTTATCTAAGTAGTTAACTATATTTTTTATATACTATATTGCTACTTCTATAGTGTGTTCCAATCTACTTAACTTGGTATCATCTGCACATTTAACTAGCGTAATAACTATACCAGAATCTACATTTATATAAATTAGGAAAGACAGAGATCCTAGTACAGATTCCTGTTGTACCCCACTAATTGCATCACCTCAGTCTGAACATTCACCCATTCACAAGTTTGCCAAATGCTTTATTATACTGCCTGTAATTTGAGAATTGTTTTTAATGAGAAACATTATCAAAACTTATTTCTCTTTTGATACATTTTTGCTTTTTCACTAATAATGATTTCAAACTTTAACAATTTATAGAATGTAATTTCCCAGTTCCTCTTCTTTGGATGTCTCATTGTTACTTAGAGGAATAACATTTTGGCAATGTAGTCAATCCACTAACCTGGGGATATACAGTATGTACAATAGTTCTGAATCTTTCCAGTTAGTTCCGGTATTTGTAGCTGCTGAAATCACGATAAGGAGAAGTCATATGAAGATTTAAATAAGAACTCTGAAAACACAAGACAGGGAACCTATGGTTCGTGTTGCACATTGCAGGATTTAATGGTAACTAAAAGGTGTTTATGTTTGTGCTTACATTTATTTTATCAGTTGCACATAAGGAACATTAATAATTATTATTTAAACAAAAAAAAATTGTTTTTGTATTTTAACATTTCATGCCGGAAAAATGGTAAGCATATATATGATTAATGATTATCTAACCTAATAATTAGTTTAACACATTGGTTCTATGCAATGTCAAAGCTTGGTTTGCATAATATTTGCAATGTTTGTTTTGTAAACCACTCTTGCAATTGTGCTTCTAAAGGTTACTGTAGCTGTTTTGATCAGAATCTTTTGCAGCCTTGGAATACAGTATGCATTTCTGAAATATATATTTTAAATATCAAAATAATATTACAAAGTCTTAGTGCGAGTGCCAGGTTTTGTGCAGTGGACTTAATAATACATAAGTTTTCTTGAAGCACTTCATTCTGGGATAATTGTCTCTGAATGTGTTGAATGTAACTTCTGCATAGTAATGAATTATTACTGAATGTACCGAAACCTAGTGAATTTCCAAAGAATGTGTTAAAGTTGCTATGACATTCAGATGAAGGTAATTGTAATTCAGATGACATTATAGTTGGTCAACTAAAAACCAACTATACATATAAAACTAGCAACTGCTCACATTGCTCTTCGGTTTGATGGTGACTTTTGGGCTTTCCTTATACACATGACTACTACAGTATATTAATGCCAGTATTTTACAAATTTTAAATTATGTGTGTTCCCTTTATGTTGCTATAAGGAAAGAACTGGGACAAATGACTAATCTCTTTGAACTTTTTGAGTGTTGTGGATAGTCTACTGTGAAAGATGAAACACTTTGTACAACTACTAGTACTGCTTCTACTACTACTGAAAAATAATAATAATAATAATAATAATAATAATGGAGCACTTCAGCAAGCAATAGCAACATTTTAGAAAGGGTTTTTATATGTTTCATATTTTACTTGGTAACTTGTCTTAATGTCTAGAAGCACAAACTACAAAGGATACTCTCAAAATATAAGCACTGTGCCCCATTATAAATGAAATGATGTGAAAGCACATGGTGCAGGTGTGTTATTCCCAGGCTCTGCTTGACTCCTGGTTTATACTGAGAATACGTCAAATACCAGACCTCGTGCTTTCTGACTAATATCATTGCTCTTCAGTTCATGCATTTTGTAGTGAATTGGTACTGAGGTAGGTCAGAAGTAAATAATAACAGAGAGAAAAAGAGAGACTGACTCATAGGCCTAACAAACCTGGACCTGGGCTAGACTTGCTGTCAGCTGTCACTGCACTTTGCAGATAATGGTGCTATGGATAAGTCTGAGATTGTTCAAATACACTTTGAAAAGAAACTTTGCTTTTATTGTTAATGAAGATAAGCTTGTACTGTATATTGAGTTTAATTTTTTTTTTAATCGTGTTTTTTTCCCCACTTATAGCTAACCACGAGTCCCCTTCAGAACCGGATGCTGTGTTTGTTTGTTATCACTACATTTGTACCCAGCATCCTCACAAACTGCTGGGTTTCAAAGCATCTCCCATGCGATGTGATGATTAGGAATGACACCTCAATCCTTTTTGACTGCAGTGCCAGGCGACTGACAGTTGTGCCAACAGACATCAAGTGCAATGTTACAAGTCTCAGACTTTCGCAGAACCAAATACAACACATTTCAAATGAATCTTTCTGGAACTTGGAGAACCTCATTATTCTTAACCTCAAGTGGAATAGGGACACAGAGGGCCTTAAAATAGCAAAGGGCTCTTTCACTGCTTTGAAAAAATTAAAGATTTTGCTATTAGATGGTAATTTGTTGTCTACAATACCTGAAGACCTCCCGCATGAGCTGAATATTTTAAGTCTAAGTTCAAACAATATTGCCTCAATTGGATCAGAAAACTTCAAAGGTATCCCAAACATCAAAGAGATCAGACTAAATAAGAACTGCTATCATGGCAATGGTTGCAACAACTCCTTAATTATACACAATGACACCTTTTCCAACGTCTTAGAGTTAGAAAAACTCTCACTCAATCTTAACAGGCTTACAAGAGTCCCCCAGAATCTGCCAAAATACTTAAAGTCCCTTTCTCTCACCTTAAACAAAATCGAACGTGTCAATCATTTTGACTTGGAAAACCTAACTGAATTGAGGACTCTAGATCTTTCTGGAAACTGCCCTAGGTGTCAAAATGCCCCATTCCCTTGTGAGACCTGCAAGACACCTAAAGGCTCAATTGAAGTGGATCCTCATGCATTTCAGAGTCTTGTAAACCTGGAAGAGCTACACCTCTCTGGAAACTCTCTTGTTAAAGTACATGCCTCCTGGTTCCAGAATTGTACTAAATTAAAATACCTTTTTCTTTCCTTCAACTTTTTAATAAGTGAAATTGCCACTGGAGAATTTCTGAATGTTTTACCACATGTGGAAGTTATTGATTTATCTTTCAACTATGCTCCTAAATCCTATCCCAGGAAAATTAAACTTTCATCAAATTTTTCCAAATTAGAAGCACTAAGAGCCTTGCATATTGAGGGCTATGTGTTTAGAATTCTGGATGGGAATGATTTAAACCCACTTTTTAGTCTAAAAAATCTGTCTTTGCTTAATGTGGGTACAAACTTCCTCCAGTACATACACCTCACACTGTTTCAAAACTTCTTTAATCTTTCATTGATATATTTGTCGGAAAACAGACTGGCATCTCTGTCGCAAAGAAATGACAGCATTTACGCAAATGGAAATGAAGCAGACTGTGTTTTAAACAAACCACTGATGAAATACCATGGTAATCATGAGGAAAAAGGCACTTATATTGTGCACAAAGATAAGGACTACCGGTTGTCTCACCCACTTGTTAAGCAGCAGTGTCTTCGCTATGGACCAGTGCTTGACCTTAGTAAAAACAATATCTTTTATATCTCCCCTGAGCTCTTCAAAGGTCTTGAAAATACGACATGCCTTAACCTTTCCAAAAATTCTATTGCAGATTCTTTCAATGGTACTGAATTCATTCATCTGCCAAAACTAAAGTACTTGGATCTGTCCTACAACAAGATTGACCTGGCTTACGACTATGCTTTTTCTGAGTTAACACACCTAGAAGTGTTGGATTTGAGTAATAACCCACATTACTTTGTTGTGGCAGGTGTGACACATAATTTAAATTTTGTTAAACATCTCCAGGTTTTGAAAGTGCTCAACCTAAGCCAGAATGAAATATTTACTTTAACTGAGAAAGAGATGAGCAGCAGCTCACTGAAAGAGCTGCAATTTCAAGGCAATCGGCTGGACATATTATGGAAAAATGATGAAAGGTACATAAGACTTTTCACCAATCTTTTGAATTTAACACACTTGGATATGTCTCACAATAAACTTCAGAACATACCATCAGCTGCTTATGAGAATTTTCCAAAGACCTTAACCCACCTCTTCTTAAATAATAATAAACTTAATTTATTTAAATGGGAGAAACTCATATATTTTGAGTGCTTGGAGGTCTTAGATTTAAGCAATAATAAAATAGAAAGTATTGCTGAACATATTGCTAATTATACAAAAATGCTTAGAAAACTGTATCTGGGTAATAATAAGATTTCTCGGCTCTCTGATGGTTTTCTCCGGGGTGCAAGAAGCCTTAGTAGGCTTTACTTGGATAACAATAATCTGAGTCTAATAAACACATCCACTTTCCTCTCCGGGCCAGAGAACTACCTGAAAACTCTGTCTTTAAAAGGAAACCCCTTTCAATGTACCTGTGAGATTTTTGACTTTTTATTGTGGGTGGAAGGAACTGACATTGTGATACCACGTTTGGCTACTGATGTCACCTGTGCAACACCTGAAAGATTGAAGAGAAATGCTGTCATTGGCTTTGATCGTCAGCAATGCATCATTGATGGCACATCTGCTATATTGTTTTTGGCTTCTTCCTCTATCATTGTGATTACTGTGGCAGTTGCTATAACACAGCATTTGTTTTATTGGGATGTTTGGTATATCTTTCACTATCTTAAGGCAAAAATGAAGGGTTACCATTACCTGAAATCCACAGAGAGCATCTATGATGCTTTCATCACCTACGATACTAAAGACCCAGTTGTTTCAGACTGGGTTCTGAATCATCTCCGAGTCCAGCTGGAGGAAAACGGAGAAAAACTATTCCCAATTTGTCTGGAGGAACGAGACTGGCACCCCGGCGCACCTGTCATAGACAACCTGTCTCAGAGCATCAAGCAGAGTCGAAAGACAGTGTTCGTGCTGACTGAAGGGTATGTGAAGAGTGGGACCTTTAAAATAGCCTTTTACCTCGCACACCAGCGGCTGCTGGATGACAACACGGACGTTATCGTGCTGGTTCTGTTAGAGCCAGTACTGCTGCATTCTCAGTTTTTCCGCTTAAGGAAAAGGTTGTGCAGGAAGACCATCCTTGAGTGGCCCAAAAATCCTCGTGCGGAAAAATGGTTCTGGCATTGTCTGAGAAATATCATAAGAGTGGAACACCAGGCTGTGTATAACAAACTTTATTCATGTTATTTCATAAACAAATGAAAACACTGTTAATAGCCTCTCTATAGAAGTATAGAATTTTAAATAGTAATTCAGCAGTACAGTGGAAAATTGAACCTCAAACTAGTTTTTATACCTAATTACCAATATATTGAAAGCAAAATGTTAAACCTTGATGGTAGTAGTAAGATGTTTAGTGATGAGTACAAGTCAAATCCTATTTATTCTTTCTTTGACTACTCCTAATTTTTGTTTCCTACAATGTTTTTCTTTCCAAAGCCAGTATTATTTCAGGGAGATGGCTGGACAACTTCTCTTCCAGCCAAACTGTTACTCAGTAGGTATCACTGCTTCAGAGAAAACAGATTTAATTTTCTAGGGATAAAGAATCAAGAACATGTTTCAGCAATAGCTATGCAGCTAATTTCAATGTACAGCAGGATTCAATGTATCAGTATTGTATATGCTAGATTATTTTTCTTAAATTAATATGTCAAAAAAAATTAATGTTCAGCTTCATAAATCATATAAAACATGCATGCTCTGTGTTGTATACATTTTAATCAATGTATAGATAAATAAAAAAGTAAGAGTCCATTTTGAAATTACATAGTTTTCAGTTCTGCTTCTGAGCAAAAATATGTTAAAATGTTTGTCACATATAGTCTCTCCAAGCAGCTGTTGCTCTCGTAAATGGAATCTCCTGACTTTTGACTTTTAATGGATACAAAGAGGAAAAAAACTCTCTCATAGTTGTTAAATACCACCTCATTCTACAACGGACATTTATGAATATAAAGGTTGAGTAAGAAATCCAGTATACCTCTTTACATTCAGCTAGGCACAATGGTGGGAACAGATTTCTTTACTATCCTTTATAAAGAACGATCAGCTGATATAAAAGTGAAAAGGTATCTGAGAATTCAGTTCAAATGAGGCAGTCGTCAGTTTTATTTTTGATCAACTTGCACATGTGTACATTTCAAAAGCCTTGTAAAATAATGTGGCAATGTAATGTATAATAATAGTAAACACAGCCTCAAAGCTGGTCCTTGGAGGCTCAATGTAATCGACCCCAAAAAACACTCTGTCAATGTGGCTTCAAGAAAGAAAGGTGAAAAACAGAGTCTTTGAGTCAGAGTGAGACCTATGACACACCTCTTCCAGCTTTCCCGCCCACCTTGAAGATCTGTTTATAGTATTAACAAAGAAATTAAAAGGAGATACAAAAAATAAATAAAAAACTATACCTTTTGTGGGTCATTTTAGTTGCTATTTGATGCAGTAATAAAAAATTCTCCAAAAATAAAAAATAATAAAACTTATTCTGTATTTTGGCTGTGAGGCCCTGAGATCCCTTGTAATGAACTAATTTAGATAGCATCACACTTTGTGTTTTCTGCAAACTGAAATCAAGACTATATATAGAATTAATGGCACACAGCACACTAGGAAGTGAATCTGAAACAGGAATTACAGCACCCAAAAAATATAACACAAAGAGTAACATACTAAGGGCTACAAATGAGAAGTAATACATAAGCCATAGATGCATTCAGCGTGATTTATTGCAAACAGTGAATGCCTAGTCCAATTCTTTTTACACACACCACTCAAGAGGATCATTAATCATGCACTAGCAAAGTGCTGCTCTGCAGCAGTTACATTAACCAACCTTAAATGCAGTACAAATAAAATTGCAGAAGTTAGAGAAGCTTGATATTTCCCTTTTTAAAACAAGAAGTTGCTCTGGAGACCACACAGCAGTGCTACAGCCCTTTTACCTTGTTGTGTACTGCCCCTTGGACACCAAAAAACAAGTGTTTTGTGCAACACTTTTTTGTCGACCAAAAAAATGGTAAGTTTTCAATATATTAAGAATTATTTGATTGTGATTTGTATTTCAAAATTTATGAGGATCTAATGATTTTATTAATACACTACTACAAAAACTTCAGATTCGAATAAAAATAATAATAAGATCTAGTCTTTTATTTTTTTAAATATGATCTGTGTAATACTCATTTATTTGATAAAATTGCAAGCCTGTTGTTCATTTTTTAATATTAAATAATTAAACACCCACAATGCATTTTTTTTGGCATGTACAGAAAGCACTCGATTAGAATCTTAATCTGTTCACCAACAGAACGTGATAGTACTGTTTAAATATAGCTCAACACTGCAGACATTTATCAACATACAGCAATGTTATAATATAGATCCAGTGCAGTGAATTACTACGAAGTCTGAGATGAATGTAAAATTAAAAAAGAAGAGGGGTAGAAGGCTTAGTACATAGGACTTCATTTGTGTCTATCCATGTTCATTTGTGTAAATCTAAATCATCAACATTTTCATTAGTTTTGTTTTGAATTACACTATTGAATATTTGCCACCATTTGAAGACCTTGTAGTTCATGGAGTGAGAAATCTAGTATTGGGAACTGAAAATCTGAAAACAAACACTGTAGGTATCACATGGAATAAGCACATACAGACATTATCCTGTGAGCCAGTAGAAAACTGCAGCTTTTGGGAGCAAAAAAAGGACATTCTGAAAGTAGGGGAATCTTCTATTTTGCGTTTCCTTACAGTGGGAAACCAGATTGATTCCTGAACAAGGGATTGCCAGGGAATCTGTTGCCAGTATCCTGGGAGCTTTCTGCAAATATCTTGTACAGTAGGTTTCCGTTAAAGCACAGTGTGGGAGAAAACAGTCAGAAAAGAGAATGGGATCTTATCTCTTCAATACGTGTGATACTAAAATACAGAAAACCACAGCTCTTTATGTCTAAACAGTATATTTATTTGTAGGAGTTTAAATTGATTGTAAAACAAGTTCATTGACGAAACATTTCAGTATTTTATATGGAATATAACCAAACATGAAAATTGCAAAATACTCATGATAATTTTCTTGTTCTTTATCCAAACTAAGCTTTATACATCTTCTGATGGAAAGTGCATGTTTTGAAATAGGATAGGTAGTCTGTAAGTGTGTGATTTCAAATTCTCTTTTGAATATAGGAAGGCTTGCAATATACAGTACAATGTTTATGAATGATTTCAGCCATTTGGCTGAAATTTGCAGTATTTCAAAGCTGATTTCCCTGAAGTTCAATAAGTATGATATGTTTTCATTATACTTTATGCCAAATATTGAGAAAAGATTAGGTTTATTTTATTCTGTGAACGAAATTATTAGAATCTACGTGCCACTTTTACGAGTTAAATATGACATTTTTATCTTGAGCTTCTACAAATTTTTATATGCCTACAATTCTTAAGCTTTCATCTCCTGTTAAACCAACTAACAAGCAAGTCTACTGCTTCTCAATCAAACTCATTTTCTTTTTTTTAAGGGGAAACTAACCCAAATTCCTGTAATAGCAACCAAAGTGCTACAACAACTGCTGCAATATTTGGTAATTGGTCAATTCTTACCCATGTAGAAGGGTGGAGGTTTTTTTTCCCCTTCTAAGTATTACTCCAGTATTAAGAATCTGTTATAAAAACAGGCGGCATGTTTGAATAAGTCACATGCATTGTATCTTATATATTATGGTTGATTTTTAGTTAGAAAGAAAATATAACATTTTTGTTGTTTTAGGTATCTCCTCACTTCCATTGGCACCTCCTGTTCTTCCTGGGTTTATTTTGCTGTGTTTTTGAAATTGTAGCATATCGGTGGATTTCAAGGAAACTTCCATGTGATGTCAAGGTAAACCAAAATTCCAGTGACATAATTTTCGACTGCAGTGGCCGTCAGCTCAAGGACGTGCCTATAGATATTCCTGGAAATGCTACAAAACTGCTGCTTTCAGAAAACAGGATACATAATATTTCCTCTTGGTCTTTCAAGAATCTCCTAAACCTCACAATGCTAAACTTCAACTGGAATCGGGACGAAGGTGAAGTACAAATCACTAAAGGAACATTCTCTAATTTATCAAAACTGCAGGAGCTGTTTTTAGATGGCAACTCTCTCTATAGGATTCCAGAGGAGCTTCCATCTGGACTGCAAATTCTTAGTCTGAAAGTCAATAGCATCATCAAAATCAGTAAAAATAGTTTCTCTAAGGTGGAAAATCTTACAGAAATCTATCTGGACAAAAACTGCTACTTCTGGAATCGTTGCAATAACATTTTAGATATAGATAATGAAAGCTTTGCACATCTTAATAAATTACAAATTTTATCATTGTCTTTTAACAACTTAACTTATGTTCCTCAACAGCTGCCAAGATCTCTACAAATGCTGAATCTCAGTTCTAATCGAATTCAATGTATTCGTGAGCATGACTTTAAAAACCTTACAGAACTGAAAGTCCTTGTCCTGTCTGGCAACTGCCCTAGATGTCACAACGCCCCATTTCCCTGTGAGCCCTGTATTAATGTTTCCATTGAGATTCATTCTAAGGCTTTTGAAAATCTTTGGAACCTTAAACAACTGCATTTGTCTGGGAATTGTCTCAAAATCCTAAAAAGTTCTTGGTTTTCAAATTTTCATAACCTTAAATCTCTCTATCTGTCATTTAATTTTTTATCAGGAGCAATTGCTGGCGGCTCATTTTTAAACTATTTACCACTGCTGGAAAAGATTGACTTGTCTTTCAACTATGACTTGAAGGCCTATCCTCAGACTCTTAGAATTTCACCTAACTTTTCAAAGTTGAAATCTCTTCAAACTTTACTCATTGCAGGATATGTATTCCGCGAAATACACCACAATGATTTAAGTCCACTATTTAATCTAAAAAATCTTTCTGTGATAAATCTGGGTACGAATTTTATTGTGCACACAAATTTGTCAGTATTTTTGAAATTTTCTAACTTGAAACTGGTGTATTTATCAGAAAACAGACTTGCACCTGTGTCGCAGGACAAATATATTTTCTCTGGCATAAGAGAACAAAATGAGCAAGTTTTCTACAAATCTCCACTTGTGGGAAATTACATCTCTGGGGATCAAGAGATTGATTATGAATTATCTCATCTACTTGTTAAACACGAATGCTTTGTTTATGGTGAAGTCTTAGATCTTAGTTCAAATAACATCTTTTTCATTTCCCCAGAGCAATTTGAAGGCTTTGAGAAAATCTCCTGTCTTAACCTCTCAAAAAATGGTGTCGCGGCTGCTTTGAACGGCACTGAATTCATAAAGCTTCCAAAACTAAAGTACCTAGACCTGACCTATAACAAGATTGACTTAGCCTATGATTATGCATTTACAGAGTTAAAGGAGCTGGAAGTGTTGGATCTCAGTTTCAATCCTCACTATTTTGCGGTATCAGGGGTGACACACAATTTAGCCTTCTTAAAACATCTCCAGTTTCTGAAAGTGCTGAACCTGAGCTGGAATGAAATATTTACGTTAACAACAAAAGAGATGATCAGTGAGTCCCTGGAAGAGCTTCAGTTCCAAGGCAACCGATTGGATAAGCTGTGGAAAAAGAATGATGGTTCCTATATTAGGCTTTTTGAAAATCTTACTAATTTGTCATACCTTGACATATCTTATAACAAGCTTAACAAGATACCATCTACTGTCTATGCCAGCTTGCCACAAAATATAAGTAAACTTTGTTTAAGTCATAATGAACTTACTTGTTTTGATTGGGAAGAGCTTAAACATTTAAGGCAACTGAAAGTTTTGGATCTACAGCATAACAAGTTGACTAAAGTGTCAGCAGATCTTACAAACTACACAAAAACACTTCAGATTCTTAACTTGAGTTACAATAGGATTACTCATCTCTTTGATGGCTTTCTACGGGGTGCAAAGAGCCTTTTAATCCTTGATTTAAGTCACAATAAACTAAGGCTTATAAACCAGTCAACTTTCCTCTCTGGACCAGACAACTACTTGGAGGTACTGTCTCTAAAAGGTAACCCCTTCCAATGTACCTGTGAATTGTTAGAATTCATTTTGTGGATTGAAACAAATGATGTTGATATACCATTGCTGGCCACAGATGTAAGCTGTGCAATGCCAGCAAACAGAAAAGGAATTGGAATTATATATTTTGACCTTAAAGAATGTATTGATGACAGCAAAGCAGCAAAATTTTCTTTTCTGTCTTCCTTTTTTATTTTGTTTACTATGACTGCTGCTCTTACTATGCATTTGTTTTACTGGGATGCTTGGTATATTTGTCACTATCTTAAAGCAAAAATGAAGGGTTACCATTACCTGAAATCCACAGAGAGCATCTATGATGCTTTCATCACCTACGATACTAAAGACCCAGTTGTTTCAGACTGGGTTCTGAATCATCTCCGAGTCCAGCTGGAGGAAAACGGAGAAAAACTATTCCCAATTTGTCTGGAGGAACGAGACTGGCACCCCGGCGCACCTGTCATAGACAACCTGTCTCAGAGCATCAAGCAGAGTCGAAAGACAGTGTTCGTGCTGACTGAAGGGTATGTGAAGAGTGGGACCTTTAAAATAGCCTTTTACCTCGCACACCAGCGGCTGCTGGATGACAACACGGACGTTATCGTGCTGGTTCTGTTAGAGCCAGTGCTGAAGCATTCTCAGTTTTTCCGCTTAAGGAAAAGGTTGTGCAGGAAGACCATCCTTGAGTGGCCCACAAATCCTCATGCGGAAAAATGGTTCTGGCATTGTCTGAGAAATATCATAAGAGTGGAACACCAGGCTGTGTATAATAAGCTCTATACAAGCTATTTCACCTCCCGATAAAGACTGGTTACTAGAGATTATGAATGGTGAACATATCAGACTCACAGACATTTATGATGGCTAACAATACCTCTTGCAGAAGAAATTCGCACTGTATGCAGCTAGAGGCTTCATGGTGTTTCCAATTTAAAACACCAGTGTACGCTGTTTCAAGTAACTTATTTGAGCTTATTAGATGACAATGATCTAAAAGCACTCTCTTCGGCATCATGTGGCCTAGTTAAGTTGTTTAAAGAATTCAGCTTCAGAATTGGCCGGAAGGTCTTTGCAGATGACAAGAGATATTCTCTGGCTGTGTGACTACATATGGATCCAAGATGTTTAAGTACATTTTGGGTCTGTCGTTGCATTTTCATCCAGTCTTCGGACCTTGGAAAGGTAAAGCTAAATTTAAGCCCCATTTGCATTTGCCAAAGGTGCCACATTGGCAGCGTACAGCAGCTGTAAAGATTCGGGAATAAGTTATTATAACCTGTTGATGATAGACTGGCAAAGAATAACTGGTAAAGTTGTTTATAGTTGCACTGTCTCTTTTTTTCCAAATATTTTTTTTTTTCGTTTGAGTATTCAAAGGCACATAACACACTTCCAGTCAGCTCAAAAGTTTCACTGGGACCATCTGAAGTGCCTAACAGAGCAAAGAAAGATTATGGATACAGAAATATAATAAATAATACAAAGCACAAAATTAATTAATAATATCATCCTCAAACACACTTCAAGAGCTGAACCATACAGTATGTCCCATGAAGTGATGTTTATAAAATGCATGCTATTTTTTTCTATAATTAACTAATTCATTAATAAAATTAAGAATAATATCTTAATGAGAAAGATAGCATGTTAACCTTTATTATGATGATTATTTTGTAATGCAATAAATATAATATTGTCCATAGAAATTGCACTTTTGTCCTGTGAAGACATAATAATGCAATGCTTTAGCAATCTAATTTCTCTCTGTCTGAATCATTTGTACTGTTTTGTAGATTTTATGTGCATCAATTTCCAATGACCAATCTTGTCATTTCTTATGTTCTTTTGGTGGATAAAAGAGTTAAAATAAATTAATAAAATTGCTTTAGTTAAACCTAAAATTATGTTTTTGTCCTATGGTTTGAATGCTACTATTCATTTTTGCCAAATTAAAAGCAGTTGTATAACACAAAGAAGACATGAAAACCAATATTGAGGAAACTTTATAGAATGCTGATACTGTAGTATTCTGTGTTACCAAAGTATGTTCTCAATTATTCACCTCAAAACTTGTTCAGGAGTATTTGTGGATCCAAGGGTCTGTTCTTTACACACAAATTCAATGCCAGCCTCGACTATAAAGCTTTAGATATAGTGTGTCTGTACATCTTTAAATCCCTAATGTACTCCTAATGTTTATCATAATCATAATAACAGTTACATCACCAGCTCTAACCCAGACCCTGACCACAAAATGCAGTATGTGAATAATAATATGGATGTTTGGTGATGATTGTTTTTAAACTGATTAGTGCATGCTTATTTAAAACTCTTTAAATGGATGAATTATGTTCAATGGATGGAAATGGATGAGCTTTAAAAGAATAATCTAACCACTGATAAATTGAGTAATTTTTAATTAAGTAATTGTTTTATGACTATTTGAAGAAATTCAGCCTAAACAGAATTTTAGACATTTCAAAAATGGAGACATCAACATCAGAAAAGTGTGTTGTGTGACAAAATGTGTCGTTTTCAGCTTCCATTGCTGGTTTTAATATAGGTTAGTGTTCAGAAGCATATTTTAAAAGTAACTGATTCTGCTCAAGTAACAGCTAAAATTCCATCATCTAAATTTTGTCATTTATTTAAATCTGAGACAAAATATTGTATACTCTGGATATGTGTATACTGTGTATATACTGTTAATAACACAGTATGTGTAATGAAGCATAACAACTATAATTACACATAGCATATCTACAGTGGTGTGAAAAAGTGTTTGCCCCCTTCCTGATTTCTTATTTTTTTGCATGTTTGTCACACTGAAATGTTTCAGATCATCAAACAAATTGAAATATTAGACAAAAATAACACAAGTAAACACAAAATGCAATTTTTAAATGAAGGTTTTTATTATTAAGGGAAAAAAAATCCAAACCTACATGGCCCTGTGTGAAAAAGTGATTGCCCCCCCGTTAAAACATAAATCAACTGTGGTTTATCACATCTTTGGAAAGCTGAGTTCAATTTCTCTAGCCACACACAGGCCTGATTACTGCCACACCTGTTCTCAATCAAGAAATCAGTTAAATAGGACCTGCCTGACAAAGTGAAGTAGACCAAAAGATCCTCAAAAGCTAGACATCATGCTGTGATCCAAAGAAATTCAGGAACAAATGAGAAACAGAGTAATTGAGATTTATCAGTCTGGAAAAGGTTATAAAGCCATCCTAAAGCTTTGGGACTCCAGCGAACCACAGTGAGAGCCATTATCCACAAATGGCGAAAACATGGAACAGTGGGGAACCTTCCCAGGAGTGGCCGGCCGACCAAAACTACCCCAAGAGCGCAGCGACGACTCATCCAAGAGGTCAGAAAAAACCCCACAACAACATCCAAAGAACTGCAGGCTTCACTTGCCTCAGTTAAGGTCAGTGTTCATGACTCCACCATAAGAAAGAGACTGGGCAAAAATGGCCTGTATGGCAGAGTTCCAAGACGAAAACCACTGCTGAGCAAAAAGAACATAAAGGCTCCTCTCAGTTTTGCCAGAAAACATCTTGATGATCCCCAAGACTTTGGGGAAAATACTCTGTGGACTGACGAGACAAAAGTTGAACTTTTTGGAAGGTGTGTGTCCCATTACATCTGGCGTAAAAGTAACACAGCATTTCAGAAAAGGAACATCATAGCAACAGTAAAATATGGTGATGGTACTGTGATGGTCTGGGGCTGTTTTGCTGCTTCAAGACCTGGAAGACTTGCTGTGGTAAATGGTAAACCGTGAATTCTGCTGTCTACCAAAAAATCCTGAAGGAGAATGTCTGGCCATCTGTTCGTGACCTCAAGTTGAAGCACACCTGGGTTCTGCAGCAGGACAATGATCCAAAACACACCAGCAAGTCCACCTTTGAATGGCTTAAGAAAAACAAAATTAAGACTTTGGAGTGGCCTAGTCAAAGTCCTGACCTGAATCCGATTGAGATGTTGTGGCATGACCTTAAAAAAGCGGTTAAGGCTCGAAAACCCTCCAATGTGGCTGAATTACAACAATTCTGCAAAGATGAGTTGGCCAAAATTCCTCCACAGCGCTGTAAAAGACTCATTGCCAGTTATCACAAATGCTTGATTGCAGTTGTTGCTGCTAAGGGTGGCCCAACCAGTTATTAGGTTTAGAGGGCAATCACTTTTTCACACAGGGCCATGTAGGTTTGGATTTTTTTTCCCTTAATAATAAAAACTTTCATTTAAAAACTGCATTTTGTGTTTACTTGTGTTATCTTTGTCTAATATTTCAATTTGTTTGATGGTCTGAAACATTTCAGTGTGACAAACATGCAAAAAAATAAGAAATCAGGAAGGGGGCAAACACTTTTTCACACCACTGTATATCATATTTCAGGGGTTTTCCTACAATAACTAATAACTTTATAATGTTATGTATAAGAAAGAGTGGCTAATGATTGAGATTATGGACAATTTCATAATGTAACTCTTGTGGAATATTGAAAGTAACATACAAAAAATAAACACAGTATTTAACTCAAACTCAGTACGGTTTATATTCAAAAATTCATTTTTTTAACAAAACTCCATGAAATAAATTTAAGAATGAATGACATTTCTAAAAGATAAACCAGCCTCTATAGAAAATGGCTGCACAAGTTTTAGTGAATTCTGTTTTATATGTTTGACATTTAACAACCTCTTTACACTACTGATAAGATAGGGAAGTTTTGCTTTCTTGTTCAAGTAAATCAGTCCATAGATGCTTCTATGCCACTATTGGAGCTCACTCTAAACATAATACTAGAACATCGCAATGGTAGTGTGTGATACTCTTCCACTTCCTGTCTCTGGTGCACACAACGAACAGTACCATACAAGACTCTGACTAAAGGCTACAGTTATTTGCAGCTTCCTGCAGTAGAAGACACACTCATAAAGTCATAATAAAATGTATTTCACATTTTGTTATACAGGTTAACACATTAATTCTGTGATGCAGCACACAGCTAGTGTGCTTCATAGGTATAAACAAAGATTCACAACAGGCGGTGGCTGGAAGGTTGTTGGTTTGTATCCCGCGGCCGGCAGAGGATTCTTGCACCTTTGGGCCCTTGAGCAAGCCCCTTAACCCCAACTGCTCCAGGGATGCCGTATAAATGGCTGACCCTGCGCTCTGACCCCAAGCTTCTCTCCCTGTCTGTGTCTCTCATGGAGAGTAAGCTGGGGTATACGAAAAGACAAATTCTGAAAATAAATTCTGTAAAACAAATGTGAAAAGAAAAAATCTAATTATATATGGCCAATAAAGTGATTTTACCTTAAGCTTCTGAAAAACATTTATTTTTGCATAAGCTGAAACTACATTTCTATTATTTTGATTTTCCATGGTTTTTCCATCCCCGTCTTAATAACTATCTGTCGAGGTCTGTATTAATTTGACATTCATAATTAAATTTAATTAAAGTAATTAAAAATTATATATCTGTGTTATAAAGTGCCCTCATTGTGTTCAGAAGTAAAACTAAACTTCCTTGCATTACAAAATATTTACGCTAGATGTCAGTGTAACCTCAAATATTAATACTTGAATTTCTACAACCAATGTTGTAGAAATGTTGTAAACAACAATGTTGTAAACGAGTATTTTAACAAACAGAAATATTATAACTTTATTTTTGTAGCGGCAAATTTGGAGAAAAGTCAATAAAATACAAAAAGATTAACATTAGTAGTGTTACGTTACCAATAATTAATCAAATGATTAGGAACAAAAGATATATTGGTCTGATTGGTTTTAAGAATTAATGCATATTTCAATTAATTTTCTAGCCAATTACAGTTTAGCCAATATTAAGAAAGAAACTAAAGTAAAGATGAAGCTGAAGACAATTTAAAAAATTGCATGTATTGCTACTTTTTATAGTCTCATGGAACAAAGATCAAGATCCACACTTGGATCTGTGGAATTCTGAACTTAACATAAAATGTCAAAGATAACACTTGTGCCTGAAGAGCAGTATTGATAAACAATCAATATATAGAACTATTTCTGTCTGCATTTATCTAGATTTAATATAACCAAATCAAGTGCAAAGTGAATTCTCCTTTTAAAATGGAAAGTGGAGTTTCCTTTTAATTTTCAAAGGCTGTTTTAAAAAGAAAAACCATGGTATGTATTGTGAGACCTGTTGTTGCCATATTGCACTAACGTATGTGGGAATAAAAGGTTTATATCATGTCATGTCACGGCTTTGAGACAGTAACATCCTTTTAATTTGCTAGATATTAAGGGAAGGTTCAGAAGAAAAAAACACCAGGTGATTCCTGTTTACAGACGTGAAGGGACTTTTCCAGAGGGATTTGTTTCTCTTATGAGACAAAAAAAGATACATCTTTAAAGGAATAAAATGTTTTTTTAAATTGGACTACTCATTTGAAATAAAGCTGTTGTGTGTAATGTACAAGCTGTGTGACTGAGACAGACTCAGCATCATTTGTGAAAAGATGAGCCTTTCTCAGCTGCCAGTATTGCAAGAATGCTGCTGTATGTTTTGACTGAAGACATGACAGAGATGTGTAGAAACCACCAGTTGGTGTTTTACTGCTGAGGTCCTTTTAACCTGAGAAGTGAAAGCTGACCATTCCATTTTGGGCATGATTTTACCTAAAAAGCTTTTAATCTGGGATTAAATGGGTTCACTATAGAAATATACATGCACATGCTGTGTCTTTACATTTAATAAAAAATATTTTTTCACCACACCCCAGATCTAATTCACGAAGAAGACATCTAAACTTCCTCTTCCAAAGTGGCTCATATTGATCAAATACTTTATTTTCAACATACAATGGTCTTCACAGAGTTTAAATTCTCATATTTATCTGTAAAATGAAGCTACATTATTTCAAGCACATTCATGCCAACCTGTCAGATTTTGATTTACGGCACATACTGTAGCTCCTTTCCTTGCTATTTTGTTCTGGCCTATGTGTTTTGTGAGGTGGAGAGGAATGAAGACCATTCTGGGTCGTCTCTTGATCTCCTTTGATCCCCTCTAGGCATCCTTTCTGTAGGAGATAGCAACTGCAATCCTGATACTCCTTTGCACAGTGGAATGTTTTTGTTGTTAACATGTGTGGATTTCATAGACTTATCAACCCACAATTCCATCTAGCGTGTCATAAGCAGAATCTTCCTTTGTTGATATATAAAATAAATGTAGGACAGCCATAAAATGTTGCAGAGTTTATTTAAAAAAATAAGAGGCAAACTATACAAAGATAATGAAAATTTCTATATTTTCAATGGCAGGTGTGATCACAGATCGATAATATTAACAAAATAAAATGCAACAAATAATTTCTGGTTCAGAATCCGATTTGACTTGGGCTGAGGATTTCCTTTTTTTTTTTCCTTTGTAAAGAAATTCGAAAACTGCACAAGAACAAGGAACCAAAATAACAAAGGCACATTCTGTGGTTCAATATTTAATTTTGTTAGTATAGTAACTTCAAGCTGAAGTGAAAAGGAGTATGTCCAAATGCACAACAAGACTTTCCATGCACTTCACTGAAAAAAAACAACAGAAACAATAACTTTTATCTTTTTAGTTCATATATATACATACTTTAGGTCTATTTTACCTGATGAAGAACATTTTCCAAATACTGAAATGGTTAAAGTAAAAATTGACAGAAAGAAAGCATTATACATCTGAATGGCATAAATCTTTATAAACAAACCCTGCACTGAACTGACAATTTCAGTTACATTACAAAGCATATAAACACCGTTTATTGAATCACATACTGTACAATTAGAACATGGAAGAGATTGCTGTAGGGCACAATTTAACAGAGTGTTTACATTAAAACAGAGTTTAATGAAAACAATAAAAACTGATTGTCACCATTGACCTATAATATTTACAATGGAATTTGTAAAAACTGAGAACAGAAGATCATTTTATATGTCAAGAGTTGTGGGAGTTTGGAACATGGTATGCAGCCATGTTGTTGAAACTCCAGCTCCTTTCAAGAAACAGCTGAAAGCAATTCTTGGATTGATTATCTTGCTTAGTTATTAGCAATTAAACAAACTTGATAAGCTAGATTGCATCTTTCTGTTTGCCTTTCTTACACGCTTACAGTGTGTTCATATCCTAAATGGTTCACAAAATAAGAGAGTGTACTTTGAAAGATGATGAGGTACTGTGTGTCCTCTGCATTAGATACACTAAGTTATAGCACTGTTGTAAAATGACTAACCTGACTAACCTTAATAATGCTTTACCATTATGGGTGCACAATTATCTGGAAATTTACTGAAAAATGTCCAGAGGTCATAAGCTTCAGCTATATTGTCTCCTTCCCTTAGCCCATCTATTTCTTTGTGTATATACAGTATATAACACTTATTAAAAGCTATTTAACTTCTCCCTGGCAAGCATTGACTGTATCAAAAGTGGATCAGGATCTGTCAACAAATGCACTGATAAGATATATTTGCATTTTAAATAAAGTAATTGTGAACTTAACGGCTATTGAAAAAAAAAAGCTTGTTTAGTCTAATAAACTATGTGTTCAATACAAAAAATACAGTTCAAGATGCAACACAAGCGATCACAGCAGATAAGTCAAGTCCCGCAATGCCACATGCTTGAACAGGGAAGAGGTTCAGTTTAAGCCACTTGTGATCTGAGGTCTTGTAATTAGAGATGTCAGGTGGGCATTGCTTTTGATATCAGTTTCTGGGTTACGGACACACATGAGGCACGAACATGGCAGGAATCAAAGGTACAGTTTGAAAAGGTGAGAGGAGGCATCATGGGTCAGAGATGGACCAGTCCCTATGTTTCAAATGGTTTATATCCATTTCTCATCAGCTGTTAACCCTGACAAACCACATAGGAAAATGGACTAAAAAAGCTGAAAGAAGAATTTAAAAAAGTTAAAAAGAGAAAAATGACTACTTATTATTTCAAGCTGACAGGTGATGTTTAGCGTCAACTATAGTCAAGTTCTGACAGGGAAATGAAGACGTGTACACTTACTCCCTAAGGTATTGTTGTCTGGAAAGTTCATTCTTTTTACATTGCACATAACAATGAGGGGGCCTACATGGTGACTGAAGAATCGGCAGTGAACAAAACTGTGTGATTGCACTAGGTACTGTAGGCATCACTATGCAGTCAGGTAAGAATCACCCTGCCAAGTACGCCTATCACAGATCAACACACTTTTCACAAGCTAAGCTGATACACAGGTGAAAAGCAATGCTTAGGTCTAATGGATTTAGTTACAAATTTTAAACATAGACCGCAAACACCATCACAGAGGAAATAGATCCAAGAAACACAATACATTTTCAATAAGAAACTTAACACAACTTTAAAACAAAAGCATTACATAGCTAGAATTGCAGATGGCCTCCCAGACCATTTGTACAATCCTGGAAGCGTTGAGATGTAGGCCTGACCAGCTTCTGCTTGTGTTGTGCAGCTGCCATTGTAGTCCTAGCACAGTGTTGTCCTGCAGGAGAATCAGCACTTCCAGGATTGGTGTGCATGAAATGAAAAACTGTTGACTCAAGGACTCTGCCAATGTTCTGCTGAGCAGTAAGATGAGCTCTCAATCTGCACTAAGGGCATTCCTGTGGTAAAGAGGATTCCTCGCCACATCATCATGCTTCGAGTGGCTCAGTGGATCAGCTTGACCAGTAACAGTGAACTTAACCTCTCCACAGCATCTCCACACTTGCTGTCTTCCAATGGCATTCATCAGTGAGCTGGACACTCCGGTGCTCTCTGACCCATTGAAGGTTGAGAATGATGTTGGGGTTCAACAAATACCTTCAGCTAAGATAAAGAACACGATTCTTATATCATAGGTTCCTTTTCCATTCTCCTACATAATTGTGTTATGGATAAAAACAATAATTTTCCAAAGTACACTTCAGTGAAACAGTAGTGGGGATTGTAAACCAATTTTTTAAAAAACACTTTGCATTTCATAAGGTAAACGTGATGGAAAAAGACATTAAATGATTGCTGGAATTTGATTGGTTCACTGATTTGAACTAATTCACTGAAAAAGGCTGAGTGAGACAGAAGCTGCTTTTTCTGCCTTTTCTTGTAGCTCTGGTACAGTATAGTAAAGAAGGCCCAGATAATTTTCTTGTTTTTTACAGTACAGCACCAACAGTTCTGTGGTGAGAAGAACGTTAAGATTTAGCTACGTTTTTTTATTTTTATTATCTTAAAGTTAAAGATTTGTTTAAAGTTTCCTTGATGCAGAATCACCTGATGCAGTGATTCACCAGAATCACTTTTCTTTTTCATTGAGGCATCACAATTCTTTTGTCTTCTGTCATATTTCAATCTGTGTAAAGATTTCTAACACAAACGAAATAAATCAATTTGCTTTTTGCCGTCACCACCATAGAATATATTCGAACACGTGTTTCGGGTCACCAAAAAAATTAAAGACAGCAATAATTTTAAAATAGAAGGTAATCAACTTAATAATGTGGATTGAAAAAATCTAAAAACTAACTACGGTATAAGGTAATCATGAAAAGCACATGACAGGGGTTTACCATTAACAAAATCACTACAGACACAAGGTGTCGCTGTTGACAGCATATTGACGGAACAATGGCGAGACCTGATTATTGACACCTAATAAGCATTGTTTTAATCAGCTTTATATCCCTACTTGATCTTTCTTGCATATGGCAGACATACCTCGCTTATCGTCGATTTCAAAATGAAAAATGTTGTGTATATTTATAAAGACTGGCAAAGATCAGTCTGTTCTGCCGATAGGAGTGGTGACGTCAGGGGTTTATTTGCATATCTCAGAGTATAATTGGTTTGCTCCGCCAGTTTCCCCCTCAGTCCACCGCTTCACCGACCCAGAGATTTCTTACGCCGAACGCCAGGCAACCCTCGGTGAGTGATAAAAGACATTCTAGCTTTTCGTTACCTGCTTTATTTTTTAATGCTAATGACATATTAAAGTGGACAGTACAGAAAGTGCAATACTTTTTACCCCCACCCCCCCCACCACGAGCACGCATAGCTACATCTTATTCTTTCTTAGTAATCAGAATATTTTTAAACGGCTGCTCGCAGAGTTTAATGCATTTGATACTGTTACAATTGCGCTAAAATAACTTGAAAGGTTGGCTTTCTTTTGTGAATTTAGACCAGTTCTGCGAGGATAGAACAATCTTTTTTTTCCGTTTTGATTCAGGGATAGACTTGTATATAGATGATCTCCACGGTCGATTTTAAATGATTTAGTGTACTGAAGGGTTTTCTCTTTTTTTTCCCCCGTTTTTGGTGAAGGGGGGAGGGAGGATCTTGCGGGTGTAGCGTGGTCTGTCTAGAGACCTGCCGTCTGCCGAGAGGATGCAGAACTGGGCGGTGGTTTGCTTAGACTGCAGACCCAAGCTTTTTGTGTGCGGAGAACAGACTCTTGGATTTCTGCATTAATTGTGCTCTGAGGATATGCAATATAAATGAATACCTTTTAAAGCACTTAATACGGTAATATTTTAGGTTAAGTAGCTTGCAATAAATATTTTAGGGGCTTTAGCCTCTTGTGATGGAAACCTTTTAATGTGTCCACAGTTTAGCAGGGAATCGTCTTTTATTCTAGTCTATCTAACGTAAAAAAAAAACGAATGAAATTCAAATAGTGGTTTTACATATGCATATATAACTGTTTCTAGGGCTGGGTGCGTGTAGATGGGTGCACGATGGCTGCGATATGAGGAAGTGTGATTAAGCAATTGGAGATGTTAACGGCCGAAATCGGTCACCTTCCGAGTGGAAGGGCTGTAATGGGCTGGGCGTGAAAGTCATCGCGTTCCTTCTGTCTTTTGTGGCTGCAGATATCCAGCTAAAATGTCTGACAAACCCAACATGGAAGAGGTCACTAGCTTCGACAAGACCAAACTGAAGAAGACGGAGACTCAAGAGAAAAACCCTTTGCCGTCAAAAGAAAGTAAGATCACTGGGAAGGCTCTGCTTGTTATAGTCTCATCATTTTAATAATGAGCTTCACATGGTGTACAGTACGTACACGTATTGATTTGTGACCCTAACGCAACCCGTGTCTTTTTTTTTTTTGCAGCCATTGAACAGGAAAAGCAAGCAGAGTCATCGTGAAGACTGACCTCCCAATATGCACTGTACATTCCACAAGCATTGCCTTCTTTCTTCACCTCTTTTAGCTGTTTAACTTTGTAACAGGAAACTAAGTTGCATTGTGATTTGACGAAAACCGATGACTGCTGCTCTCCACCCCGCCCCTTTTGCAGCGACAATTAAAGAAAACTACTGACTGTACGGAGGATGTGTCGGCCCATCCTAGTGTCTTGGCTTTCTTTGGTCCTGTTGTTGGTACCGAACATCTGCATGGCAATGAGGGAGAAACCAAGGGTGTGACTGACTACTCCGGGAACCACCTCCACATCTGAAAACCGTATGGCTTCCCGTGAATCTGTAAAATGCTTAAAAATCGAGTGCCATTTTTTATGATTTAAATTCTTGGAATGCACAACATTTTGTTTTGATATGCAAATAAAAAAATTAAAACCTATTGCTCTCTGTGGTTCTTTTAATGGATTTTTTTTCTTTCCAACCTGGAAATGGAATGTCAACGAAGAAAGGATTTTGTCACTTTAGTGCATTTCGGGAGTTAATATTTAAGTTCTCTGTACATAGAGGCTCGCTGGGATACATGGCTTCTGGATAGCTGTACTTTGTATTTTCATTATTTTGCAACGAGACGTTATTGGAACAAAACAATGTAAGTTTCCAGTCCTATTTCCAAAAAAGCCATACGGTTTTCTGGATTTTATTGTAATACGTTTGAGCAACTATCTACTTTGGCACTAAATCTCTAACCCTAATGGAAACCAATATTGGAATAAAGTTGGTTTATTTACACGTTTGTGTCCCAATGGTTTTTAAATATTCAGTAAGTTCCTTTTTTTTTATCGCGATTGCTTAAGGACAAGAGCAAGGAAATCGCCGTCCTCCCAAAAAGCACAGCCAAGTATTCGAAGTTTGAAAATCGTAATTCCATTAAATTCGCACTTCAGAACCGACAGAAAAACACTTGGTGGGGAAACGGGCTATTGTGCAACGGGATCGACCGCCGCATTGTTTGGAATTCGTAAAGGAAACGAATTTAACGTCAAGTTAAAAGGCTTTTGACCAGTCCTTTAAATTGCTCTAATTGGATCATGGCTGTCGGGATAACATTTGTGACGGCAAAGACCAGCGGGGATGCTCAGAATGTGTGGTTAAGTAGAACATAGCTGAGGTATCGTGAGATCTTTGTAATTTACGTTGTATGTGTTCTTATAAATTGGTTAGGATTTTCTGAAATTAACTTTAAGAACACTACAAATTCATTAGAACTACGCTTTGGAATAGACATTTTGCTGTCACCTGATCGTTTTTTTGGGGGGAGGGTAGGTCCATGCAGCAAGTAAAATGGCATTTTCTATGAAGCCCGGAGTACTATTTTTAATCATTTGTAGTCCAAGCTTGGACTAAAAAAAAGATAAATGCTTATCTGAGAAAAGTGTGAAAGAATTTGTAACTGTAATTGTAGTGGATACGATAACATTTCTTGGGGTACAGGATTTTCGTGTTCCAAGCAAAAAGCAAGGGGAATACCTTAAGATAAGTTTGACAATACTAATAGAAAAATACAGAGATGAAACTGAAAAAAATACGTTATATGGATTTTCCTTAACATTCAGCTGAATCATTTCTGTCGGAGAAGACGTTAATTAATGGGCCAATAAATTATCATTTGCTTTGTTTGCAGCAGCCGAAAGATAGCGGACAAGAACCCACCAACAGTGATCTCCGAAAAAAAAAAGTGGAATTTCGCGGACCACAAAAAACACCTGTCACTTTAAATTTAACATGTCGTTGCTGGAAATGGATTCTGTTGTACTAACACACCAGCAAGCTTTGCATCGCGGAGCACAGTCCTAAATGGATGAGGATTACTGACCACCTCTCGAAAGCTACATTGTCGCTGCGTGCTAAACTCGACCGTAAGATCACACATTTCTTTTACGTTTGCCAGGTGACCTAGAAAAACTGTAGTAGTTGAGCATTTTAGGCTTAGCACTACAGTGATTTCAACAAAGAACTGCACCACATTTTGTATTTCCTACGGTTAATATGGGCTCTGATGTGATTCCTTGTATGTTTTTTAATCAACTGGTGACAGAACAGATATTTCAACAGAAAGTTTCTGAGAAAGCTTTACGTTTTTGTCAATTCGCGTAGTCCTAATCTGAAAACTTTCATGAAACTGAAGGATTCATGTTTCATATGTATCCCTCTTAAATCATTTTCACGAAGGAAGGTACAGCCGTGGGATATAAACTGAATAGAAAGCAAATCAATAAATTGTTTCAGGCATATAGGGTAAGTGGGGGTGCTGAATTGAATTAACAGTGACAATAACATTATTATGTTGTTGTATTCCATCACTGTCCTTGAAATACTGAACTCTGCTTTGGCGTTTTTTTCTGTTTCTTTACTGTATGTACTGTACTTTCCCAGCTGATTTGGCAGTAGTTAGCTTTCTGTAATTGTAATTAATTTGAAAACAATGTGAATGCCATAAGAATTTCTTTAATCGTGTGGATTATTCTGGTTTACTTGCTGCTTCAGTCGTACGAGTTTTAATTAGTCCTCTGCACCGTGGTGTAGGAGTGGAATCAAATGAAAATGTTGTGTCCCTTTTCACTTAAGGAATCCACGCATTATTAAAGTTGTGGTACAACTATAGGTCTTAGCCTATAGGAGGTTGTAGGACTAGGTCTTAGCCAGAACCCCCATCAGACCATTGCCTCATAGTGTGGTTTCAGAGTATCCTAGAGTATCTGAATACATTTTCAGATTTCCCTTGAACTAAAATCAAGACTACTGAAGAAATCATTTTTTATTTGGAGCACTATTTGTTATTTGTATTTGTTGCAATGTCAGATTCAGCTGCAGCTTTTTGAGATTTTGCAGAGCCATTTACTATCTGGAATCACAATAAAGATTTTGGTGTATTTTCGAAGGGAGGTTGAAAAATGCAGAGATAATTGTGTGAGTAGGATTAAGGGCATTATTACAGGTCTGGCTTTAATTAATGGTGTTCAGACTGCATAGTTCTGGAGGGTAGACAGCCACCATACCACACGTCAACTTCCTGTTGGAGTATAAATACAGGAAATGCTCTTCCTTCTCTGGAGGTGGCTGCATTGCATTTAGCAGTGTCCCATGACATTGTGCTTGCAGCTGCCCTTTTGCTGGCATTCCAGCAGGTTTCCTGAGCAAGTTTACTGCATTCCTGGCCCACTGTTCCACGACCAAGTACGCTGGAGCCAGAATATGTCAGGGAGGAAACCAGTGTGAACGTACAAATGATTGTCATAGTGATACCGAAAAGGTCTGTAGTTATTAGCAAACCATTCATTGTGTTACCTTACCTTACCTTGTGTTTTCTGTATCCATTAAGATTTTACAATAATTACTTACAGGTGCTTTGAAACATGGGCTTTTCAGGCAGTCCACACCGACAATTAAGTTGTCAAATTACACAGGCATCATTTAGCCATGCAGTCCTAGTTTATGGTAGCTACTGGCTAGAACATACTGTGCTTAATGTTGTGCTTTTTTAAAAGAGCTTAACTCCATTGACTCTCATTTACAATTAAAATAAGAATAAAAGGGAAAACAATAGCAGGGCGACTCTACTATATTTTAATTGAAGTGGTTTCTAAAGAACACCTGCTTGTCTATCGACTTTTTGAGTTAATAGGTTCCTTCTCATATAATATAAACAAACCACTTCAGTGTACTTTCAGTGCAAATTAGTATCGTGTGCATTACTATGATACACTATATACATTTACTTAGTTTTCTGAAATCATGTGATGCTTATAGTTCATTGATGGCGATTAACAAGACATTAATCATTTGAATCATTAATCATCATGAAACATTCATATTAACTATTATTTCAAAGATGCTTGTTATGAGTTATGGCACAATATGAACGTATCTAATATTTAATATCTCATGTTTAATTCCGCTCGTGTTACCACCTCATTGTGTACCACTTTTCAGGATTTCATCTCCGTACTGTTTTTATCATTTTGCAATACTCTTTTCTTTCTCTTTTCCTTTCTAAAATCTTGCTAGAGACAGAAAGTATTGATTTAATGTACATGAGGAGCACTGGAGGCAGAACGACAACTCAGGGTGCTTTAAAACTGTAATGGAACAGTTTTTTTTTTAAACTTTTGTTTCACCGGACTTCCAGATAGTACCACTAAAGCTTTTTTAATCAACTTTGTTGCTGAAAACAAAATCTAGATTATCAAGCAGCAGAAATGTTTGGGCAGAAACTGTCATCATTGGGGACAGAAGCACTATTCATGTGTCAAAGACATGTTGGAGATCTTCAAGCAGACATGAAGGATGGGTAAAATAAGGAATATGGCTGCATAAAAAGTCATTCATGACATAGAAAGGTTGGTGCTGCATTTTGCCATATGAAGATAATAGTACATGTCACGATAAGTGGATTTCCGGTAAGCTGGTTACTCTTAATAACTTTACTAATCCGATTAGGAGCTGTTTAGTTTTCCAGTCACTGAGAATGTGAGCAGCAACCATCCTCCTTCTGAGTTTCTTAGCATCTTACAACCTGGCCTCACGTGTAAGATCAGTAGCTAGGTCAAACGCAACACATGATTCGGCACGATTGACATATTCAGTTCCATTTTCATTGAATTAATTTGTATTGGAAAAAATTACCTTTTAAAAGGTAAACCTTTTAAAATGTACCTCGAAACCTAACATTTCTGTATGGGTGTATCAGTTAATGCTACTGCCTCATATCCCATGGAGTCCTGGATTGGATTTGAGACTGGAGTGCCTTCTGTTGGAGTTTGCATGTTTTTCCTGTGGTTTTATGGGTTTTTGCTAGATGCTCCCACTGTTTTCCACCTTACAAAAACATGGCGGTTGGATTGATTTTTGTGTCTCTAAATGGTGTACAGTGTGTGTGTGTGTGTGACCTGCAATGGGCTGGCATCCCATTCAAAATGTAGTACCCTCTTGCACCTTGAGTACCCAGGATAAGCTTTGTGTTTCTGTGACTCTTGCCAGGTATAAACAGCTTTCAGATTTGAATGTGGATGGTAAAGGTCTAAAAACAGAGAAAACAGCTCTCATAGTATTCAGTTAACACTGTATAAGGTATTTCTGCATTACTAGACTGGTCCTTTGGGCATCTCTGCTCTCCAAGTAAATCGCCAATCCCTGGCTCACCTCACCTCATCTGACAGGCTACTTCTCCTGATAAACAGAGGGAAGAGAGGAGGAAGCACTTTACAAGGTAATGAGTCTAATTGCTTGAAGTAACTTCAAAACCAATTACTCGCTTTTTAATTATTCATTGAACAGTCTGCTGCCTGCAGATGATGTAATGAAGATGAGATTGTCAGGTGTGTGCTTGACTTTTTTAGCATTGTATGTGATACAGTAGATTTAAGGAACGCATCTCCCTGAAAACGTTTTGTTTGATTCTAGATGTTTGCAAATGAAACGTCTGACCATGCATCTGACACTCAATAACGGCAAACGTGCTATAGGCTTATTTTTAAAGCACTGTAATCTTCTTTTCTGTGTTACTTATATATTTTCCAAGAATACAGTAGAATTGAAGTAATGGACAAGAAAACTATGTTTCTCGTTTTAAATTATATTGAAGCTACCGTCTTTTTGACAGCTCAGGGTGACTATAGGGTGAATACTGGGCCTCATAAGACAGAACAGAACAGAACAAGGCAATGTTCTTGTTCTCTGTACAACCACTGTGGCCACTCACACGCTTGTTTCTCATCTTCTAGAAGAATCTCCAACCCCTGTGTTGGCTTTCTTTCAGATACACTGACATCACGACACAAAAATGGTCTAAAATGCCATCCCCATGTGCCTGCTTTGCCTTTTCACATTATTGAACAAAGTGATTCGGTGCTGATCTGCATGGCTGTGTTTTACCACCATTTTGGTGTGTACAGAGAACTGACATTGAAGCACAGATTATATAACTGATCCAAACATCTTTTGGACAGTAAAGCGCATTAAGAAAAAGGTTTTGCTGTTAATTCACACCCTGTTCAAACGAGGGCTAGCTAATGCCAGTTGTATTGCTGAGCCTGCCCCGCGGCGACCCATAAGCAGGTGCAAGCTGATATCCTCTTTGGATAAATCGGGAGTGTTGAGGAGCCTTGCTGAGGCCTCTGCCCATCGCCCAGCCTTCTTCCCTTCCGCTTTCCTGGCGTCCGCTTTCCTGCGCTCCTGTCTCCGAAGGCGAAGAACGCTGTCCTTCCCGGCGATGCAGTTTCCAGCTGTGTTGAGGGTTTTCTCAGACAGTCAGCTGATGCAGACACAAAGAGAAGCTGCTGTCTCGACTTCCTTATTATCCTGACAGATGACCTTTTACCTCTAAGCATCAGCAGGCTGCCTCTCTCCTGCACGGACCTACTTCAAGTTAATAGCAGATATAATCAGATTTGAAGCCATGGGTGATGCTAAAAAAGACCTCTTTTCATTGTTTTAACTGTGGTATATGCAACAATTTTCCTGTAGCATTGTTGCAACAAATGTTACTGTGTTGTTTGATCTTTGAATGACATATTTTTGTTTTCTGCACAACTACATAAGGGAATCTAGGCTTATTATCATGGCAGACTGGCTAACGCATGATTTAATCTGTGTGTTGCTTTTTTTAATAATGAACAACAAATGTGCAGTACTGGGGAATAAATTGCATACATGTTGCAAATAAAGAGACATTATATAAAAGTAAAGTTAGATAATTTTCTCAAAATAATTTTATGTCCATTAATTTAAATGTAACTATGCTTTTTGCATTTTATGAATGGGAGATTCTTTATATTCCATGTCCTCACAAACTGCATGTCTTCTTTTACACAATTCATACTGAACCAGAGCATCCATGTCTGAGAATTAGCTGATCAGA